CGCTGGTCGCCTTTCCCCGCACTTGGATAGCGAGGATATCGGCAAATCCTAACCAGTTGAGCATGGCCTATCACTCCATTATCTAATAGGAATTGCCGATCGTTCAACCATATCTAATAGTATCGATAACCATCGAAGTGGATTTTCGCCATTCAAAAGCAACAGTTCATCATTCAGAAGGTCTCTGAGACGACATCAATATGCTGTCTCTGTGGATTGCAGCATTCTTCCTGTGCGGGTATAGTGTCATCCGCGGATTACTCTCGCCATTATCTACAATTCCAGGCCCCTGGTATACTCGATTTACCAGTTGGTGGATTATCTATCAGGAATTTACTGCAAATCGACGAGAATCAATCCATCGCTTGCACAAGATCTATGGTCCCGTTGTCCGGTTGGGTCCAAACGAAGTATCTTTTACCAGTTCGAATGCGATTAAAGAGATCTATGCTTCGGGTGGCAGCGGGTATGACAAGACCGAATACTATGATCTGTTCAGGCAATTCAAGCTCAAGTAAGCTTTGAGTACCAGGGATACAGCTGGCAACCACTAATACAGAACGTAGAACAATGTTTTCGATTTTGTTGAAGGACGAGGTACTTGCTCCGGCAGGAAACAAAATGCTCGATTGCTAATCTCTACCAGCATAGCAAAAGAAAACGCATCTTTGCTGACAGATATGCCATGACCAATATTATGAAAGAAAAACCAATGGCCGTCATCCACGACCGGGCCACGACGTTTGTATCCAAGTGCGTTGAGGCTGGCCAAAAGAGTGTGGATGTCTACGTGAGTTGAAAGACAGAACAGCATTCAACCAGGACAAATGCTAATAATCTCAGTCTTTGCTTCACTGCTATGCTCTCGACTGCGTTACTCATTTCATGTTCAGCCCCGGCGGCCTCAGGTCTCTCGAAGTAGCTAAGGACTTCGACATCATGCACGAACTAACCTATCATCAAAGTCTCCAAAGTATGCCCTACTTCTTGTTCTCTACTACCGCACTAGAAACTAAAAGAGAGGCAGAAAATCTCTTGGAGTACTATCTCCCGGAATTAGCACCCTATTTCCCCAAATTCCTCCATGCACGCAGCGCCCCAAAAGCAAACCGATACGTGATAGACATGGCCCGCCAAGTCGGGCTCGATGGCCACTCCCTAATGGAAAAACTCAAACGCCAAGAATCCAACCTGGAAGTAATGCAAGCCGCCGCAGAATGCAATGACCACATGGCAGCCGGCATCGACACAACGGGCGATGGTCTGTGTTTCTTGATGTGGGAGCTCTCACGGCCTCAGAACCTCTGTTTCCAGCACAAACTTTACAAAGAGCTTAGCGCTGCGCCGGCCGATGCACCTTTGGACAGCTATGTGTATCTCGACGCTGTCATTAAAGAAGCACTGCGGTGTGCGCCGCCTATTCCGATGTCACTGCCTCGGTATGTACCTGCTGGGGGAAGGGTGATCGATGGGTTTATCATTCCGGGGCATACTATTGTTAGCTGTCAGCCGTATTCAGTGCATCGGATTAACGAGAGTGTCTTCCCTGAGCCTGATCGGTTCAATCCTGATCGGTGGCTCGTTGAGGACGGGGCTGCTGAGCGGAATCGGCTGTTCTTTTCCTTTGCTACAGGTGGAAGGGGGTGTGTTGGGAAAAAGTAAGTTGTTGCTTTCTGTGCTATTTGGGTTGTTGATGATGACTGATAATGTACAGTCTTGCGCTTGTTGAGATGAAGATGCTGCTTCGGGAAGTGTATTCGCGTTATCAGACGACGGTGGCATCGGATATGACAGCTTCGATGAGGCTGGATGATCAGATCATCTCTTCGAGGCCGAAGGGACAGAGTTGCAAGCTGGATTTTGTGGCCATAGAGTGATATTTGATGTCCTGAAATTTGCGCATCGAAAAATGGGATTAGTCCGGAAATTGAATGTGATCAAACATCCGAACTAGATATCACGCCCTATCTAATGACCATTGATAACACTTGTCTTAAATCATGATGTCCGTGAGGAGAAGGATCTCAAGCTGATGCGGGGTGTGAGGGGAAGATAGCCGACTACTACGGACAATCTCTTTAAGATTCCCAATCTGGCTCTGTCACATCTCTTGTCCAGCATGTTACGGTTATCTCTATTTTCCTTAAGTGATTAGCTCCAGTTCCCACCGAAGATTCTTACAAACATCCCCCTCCGACACTCCCACACTGATCCAAACCCCTCCATCCACGGACCGAAATCTTACCACAACAAAATCCATCGAGATGGCCAGTATTAGATCCGATCAATCTAGCTGTCGCTTCTCCAAGCGAATCTCATTCCGATGGGTCACAGCGCCCGCTGAGGAAACAACCGATACAGTCGTGATGTCCGTGAAGAATTGGTACATTGATCTGCGAATCGAAACGGCAACCGGCAAAACAGACTGGGCGATTGCTGGGGAGAGGATTGTGGAAAGTCAAGAGCCGTGTAAGTTACCTCCAACGCCTTATCTACTGGGTGTCAATGCACCCAGCGAAACTGAAACAAACCATTAACCAACTCGATAGTGCGGGTGACATTCTCCCATGAGCTTGATTCTCACAACGCATTTGAGACTGTTGATTGTGGGACCTTTGTTCCCTTGCCGAATGGCGATGATCTCGAGATGGGGTCCATGCCTCGCTATGATCTCCCCGGTGCACCTGTCAAGGAGTATGAGGAGGTGTGGCGGGAGTTGCCATTTAGAGAGGGCCCCGAGGGGCCTGCAAAAGGGCTTTCGTGGGTGCTGGAGTCGGACGATGGAGATTTTGGCAATGGAGAAGGAGAAATTACTGTTGATAAGACTTTTCTCGGTCGCATCTGGGGAACATATTTGGCACTGCGCCAGACGCAGGTTCATACGCGACAGACGACTCCATCTGGTGAGCTGGTTATTAAGAAGTCCGGCGCTGATGTCAGTGCTAGAAGGGAAGAATGGGAATCGGGGTGGAAGGAGAAGTATTCGGTTGGCGAAGCTGCGGGTGCTTTGCCTTCCATGATGGTCGGGTTTGAAGGGGAGGGAGTGGGGTCTTGGAGAATACCAGGGGAGAAGGTCCATGTCCAAGGAAAGACGTATGTCGTTCGAGCTTTCGAGGAAATTTAATCGCAAAGAGGTCTTTTTTTTCTCAATTGTAACAGGCCTTTAATAAACATGGATTCAAGCTTAGTTTTCGTATTTTCAGATGATTACCATAGGATCTCCCACCAAAAGTGTTTACAGTCTCGCTATTTGACAACGAATCCAAAGCCCCGGAATACACGCTCTTCGTCTGGCCTTGTACTATATCACTACACCTTGACATGCGAGCTAGATTGTATGCGGGAGGCGCTGCCCAGAGCGTTTTGAGAGGTCTGAACCGAGATTCTACGCTAGACCGAGCTACAAACTATCGAGAACCGGCTAAGACAAACCAAAAAAAAGCCTTGCATCCAAACAGATATGGAAAAAAGCAACACATCTAAGCTTCGTAGCACAGCTATCCCAACTCACAAACTGTCTGCCCTATCCTTTCCAAAACAGGATAAGCGCAAAGCTGACTCATCCCACGTGACAGCCCTATAAAACCCGCAAACCCCACCTCCACGCCAAATTTCCCTTCCTCAAGCGCCATCCCCACCAATGCTGCGTTTCTTTGCTACACACGGCGAGCCTCACGGCTCGTCCTTGCGACTCTGGGTCCTGCCCAGGGCCACAAGACCCCTTGCAAATGAGAAATTCGGAGGAATCTTCAAACTCGAACCCGCGCCGTCGTTCGTTTTCGCGCGTCGGCGTCGGTCCTGCCCGTGAGGGCCTGGTGTGATCCCAGATCACTTCTTAACCACACTTGCACTTGACATCAGAAACATCGGGCGATGGGGCTTGCACCCGGACCCCTTGGGAGAGTCGGTGCGGAGATTGTGTGTGATGACACTTTAGTGCAATACGCAGCATACCTTGCTCTGTTCTCTCTTCGGAGGAGCGGATGGTATCATTCGATTCCGATCATTCTGGTGGGGATGGCGCTTCACTCTTTTTTTCCCGGTCAGTTTATGCTTCCTCCCCTGCGTTTTTTGGGGGGGGGTGTTTGGAAAGAGTTTTTTTGGCGACCTTGCTAATTTGTGGGGTTGTGGACCTTGCGAGGTTCCTTAGGGTCCGGCTCTTTGGGTTTCGGTCGCCGGGGTTGGTGTTGGGTTTGTGGGGTGTTTTTAGAGTGATGGACAATAAAAGTACAGGAATTCCTGAAAACACATCTTTTTGCTAGCCGAATGTCCGATGAAACAATTCACGAATCAATTTCAACTCGTAGCAAGGTTGGAAATATGTGAAACTCTAGGTGAAGAAAAGCTCGCTTGAAAAAATTTGCGAGGTCGAGCCTCGACCGCTGAATGTGTAAATTATCGTGAACATCTTGTTAAAACCCCCGTTGCCAGGGATGTAGTGAAAGAGTTATTTCCCTCCAGGTTCTTTCTATTATCATCGAGATTCATTTTTAGCATTGCCCATATCCCCTCGAACCACCAGATTATTTGTTTACTCTTCGTCGCCGATCTATATTGAACCCCACGTTAGCACGGTTTCCATTGATGTTGGCATTGGAACAATCAAGTACTTACCTTAGGAGCAAGGTAGAACCGCAGGTGGCCACTTCCGAGACCGTACTCAACAAGCAGCGGCACTTCCTGGGAGAGGTGCAGCACGACAGATGAGGATAGGTTAGACGCCTTGCAGAAGTTGACGAGGTACTTGAGGGAGAAAGTCAGGGCGACGGGTTCGGAGAGGTTGATGACGACGTTCTGGTCGGGCTTGTCGACGTTCGTGTGCTGGCGGATGGTGACGGATCCGTTACCGATATCACCCTGGCAGGAGAACTTGACACCCTCCTTGCTGGCCTCGATTACGACTACAGCAGAAATTAGCACAACGGGCCTTATCCGTCTGCCAGCCGAGCTTGGGAATTGCCTCGTGGGAGGGAAAAAAAAAGTTTACTTACCAGACTCGGACAGCGCGTTGAGATCTCTGCAGATGCGCTGGAACTCAGAAGAAGGCATCTCCACGGTGGCGGCGTACTCAGTCTCAGGGATGGCCAGGTGCTCCTGGTCAATGTCCATGAGCTTGATGTCATACTCGCTAAGTCGGTCTGTCTCTGCACTCTCGAACATCAGGTTGACGGCATCAGGCGAGTCCTCGGCCTTGAGGGTCAGGATGTCTTCATTCTGGGCGGCGCGGAGGACCTTGGTCAGGGAGAGCAGGTTGATGCCAAGGGCGATGTTACGGTCGCAGCGGTAGGGAGAGAAGCCCTCCGCACGTAGAAGCATAGAGACCAAGGCGACATGCGAATTGTCCATGGCCTGGAGGGCGATTCCGGAGTCATTGCAATCGAAGTTGCAGTCCTGGACAAGATCCTTGATGGCGTCGACGACCTACACACAACAGCGTTAGTAGGTTATCGATTGCTGAATTGGTTGAGTGGCATAGATCACGTACGCGCTTCAAAAGGCTAGCCTGTTCCAATCGGGCTTCCAACACTAGACTGTGGGTTAATCGATCGGTTCTTCGCACACAACAATCTTTTCGATTTGGAGTTAGCCAGCTTACTCTTGATGGTTGTGTTTGTGCGTTGAATTAAACTGGCTCGTAAAAAAAAACTAGGAGGGTTTAGCCGGTTTTTAGATAGTGAACAGAGTAGAAGGGATACAATGACAGTGAATTGGGATTGTAATTGAGGGAAGATGAAAGAGGCAGCAGGCCAATATAAGGATCGCGTTCGAGGGTGGGGAAGACGCGGTCGCGTTTGGCGATATGTCCCTTTCGGGTTAAATTTGATACCTGAGGCGCCAAGGCAACCTTCGCAGACAAAATCTCTTGAGGATTTGCCGAAATAATTATGATCAACTAATACGAGTAGTATGAATAACCGAAGAGTATTTCTTTTGCAGTAGAGCCAGCTATAATGTACAAATGGGAATAAAAACTCGACGTTGATCCCCATACTCAACGAAGATGAATGCCGAAAGAACCATCCAAAGCCACTCAAAGACAGACGAACAGAATACAATGGAACAAAAGAAATGAGGAGTAAATCGAGTAGCAAGAAGTAAAAAAAAAAGAAGCAACTATCCAAATGAAACACCGCTGTCGCCGAGCCCGTCTATATGTACATGTTGTGGGTATCAATTTGCGACTTCCCTGCTGCTAGCGCTGGTTGAAGTCAATCCTGTGCCGGATGGCACAGGCGAAAAAGGAGAGATTCTGTGGGGTGCATCAAGAGTGACGCAGAAATCCAAGAGTTGTCTTAGATGCTGGTAACTCGTTTCGCAGAGTTGTTTCCTGGTCGTTGCTTGATGACCATTTCCAGTTCCTTTAGCATGTTTTTGCTGGCGTCGACCTTTTCTCTGGCAATCGCCTGTCTGGCACGGTCTTCTCTTACACGTGCAAGACGTTCGTCTCTTGTCAAAGACATTCTCTTGTTTCTCGAGGCCGGGAGGACAACAGCTTCGAAGATTTCCTCATCATCATAGGTCTGGGTCAGATCCGGCCGGCCCTCGCCAATTAAGGTTTTCAGTGCATCCGTTGGGCTTCCCTCAACTGCTGTAGATCCCCCCAGACTCGGAGTTGGGGACATAGGTAAGAAAGTGCTTGCCGGCCGCGAGCGATCCCCGACACTAAGGCGATCGTGTTGGTTTGCCAGTGCGGCTTTACCGGCTTCCCACTCTTGGAGAAGAGCCCTAAGATCACTGCCAATCGAGTCATATTGTGCAAGGAGAGCGGCTTCAAACTCATCAGGGTCCGCACGTTCTAGATTGGCACGTGACTCCTCGCTGGCAATGTGCATTTTAGCATGCAAGGCGCGGACCCCTTGTGACAAGGAACCGAGCCGTCGAAATTGAGCACGCAGGTGTTCCTTGCTTGGTGGGGCGGAAGGTGAAGGGGATGGGGGAATGTCATCATCTGCGAATATTAGCCAATGCCTTTGTGTCATAAAATAGGGATAAGCACTCACGGTCCTCCTCATTTAAGATTTTTGTCATTTTCAGCATACAATTGCCACTCACCGCAGCGAGCTCACGCATTTCCTCGACTGCAGAACTCCACCGAGCAATATCGGAGCCGCCGCCATCGGCGCTGAGAGCCAGCAAACAGCACAGCACGCTTTTTCTCACACTGTACAGTTTTCCAAACAGATCTCTGAGAGCGCGCAACGAGTACTGGTCTTCGTTGGCTCGTTGCGACAGCGACATCTCAACCACTTCGAGTTCTTCTAGTCCAATGTCATAAATATCGTAATATTTCGCAAGATCGCCTTCGTCGGTAAGTGGACGCAAGGTATTCTGGGATTGAATGTACCGCTCGAGCAAGGAGTAGAAGCATTCTGAGACCGCTCTGCGTAATCTCAGGCATCGTCGCGTTTGTACTAGATCCTCTATCCGACTGATGGGTGGTAGAGGAGTGCTTCTGTGATGGTTGATTAGCCCCGTTATCATCTTGAACAAAAACGCCATGTTCATACATCCGATAACCTCTTGAGACCAGTTCAACCTCCTGAATGAAGATCACAGAAGCCGATGCAATAGAATCAAATCCCTGGGCGTTTCCAATGAAAGGGACGGCTGCCTCAACGGCCTGGTGCCGAAGATATTTCAACCATTGCCGTTTTGCGAAAGTATAGAAAAACACCCCGACAGCAGGCACAAGTATCAGGAGCACTCCAACTCTCTTGAGACTGAGTCCTGACCCAGTCTTTGGGCGGCTCCAATGTATTAACCAAGCGATCGAGAAGGATGTGGCGGCTGTGACAATGGCGCCTTGAAGTCCAAAAGTTGTAGATAGGGACGGGAGATCTGCAGGTTGTTTTGCAGATAGAACATCTGCAGCGGATGTGTAGGAAGGAGCGCCGTGTTCGTTCAACAGTTGCGATGCAACAATAACATAGCCAAATTGTTCCAAAAACCGTTCGTTGTCGCTTCGTGGCAATCGGACGTTCAGGTTAGACTAGACGCGAAGAAGTGTTATTATGATCCCGTGCGATCCGTAGACGAAGGGGTCGTACCGAACAAGCGTCATAGAGTTTCCCAATCAGTTCGACCTGCGGTGTTCCTCGTATATTGAGAGGCTTCGGCAGCTTATTTCGAACGCGATTCTGGAATTTGGAAGCCCCTCGAGGGGCAAAGTTGGAGGACCGGGTATGATCATCGTCGCTCTGATTCTCCTCCACGGGCCAACTCTCTTCGTTTCCACCCTCCCCTGAGACAGATGTCAGCGGGGTTGAATTTCTTGGGTATCCTAAACAACGCTCACCTTCCAAATACTCGGCCAAAGGCGAGTTTTCATACACGATTGATTCCATGTTGCGGGATCATGCCGCAATGACAGGGGAGCGGAGAAGGTGGGCGAGTGGTGACGCAAAACAGATGATAAGACAAGCGCTTACAGATCCATGTCGCAGAATGATAGGCGCCAGAAAGATAGAAAAGAAATTGTACTAGTAAAGAACGTAGATGCTAAAGAAAGGCCTGGGGCCACGTTGAGGCACGTCCGGGGAAAGGAGGTCTCCCAGTCACGAGAGTCTCATTTAGACGTGACCCACTTACCTGTTCCTGATGATTTTACAATGTAAGGGCCTCGATTTAATTTAAAGGAGATCACTCCGTACGGAGTGGATTATACAAAAGACTACGGAGTACGACGTACATCATACATGTGCATTGCTGGTTTCTAGCTAATCTGAGCAATGGAAATCAACAAGGCTTACGAATGTACTCTTTGCTAAGCTGGAGAGCTGCAAAGCTCTCGGCTACGGATGTTGATGTACAAGCTGAGTCATCGAGCACAGGATGCCTGGCAGATCTGGCATCCACATCTATTTGGGAGATCCCCGTGGTGCGTCTAGATCGATCATGCTTCTGATGTATTGATATCTACAAAGGATCACTTCCTTCAGAATCATCAACAGTGACCGAGTTTTGTCATCTACCTTAACACCCAAAAACACAATTATCTATAAATACACATGAAACACATTGTCTCAGATTTCGTCTCAAGTGAGATGAATAAGATACTAAAAGTCCACATTGTGGGTAGGGGCCAGACAGAGGACTGTTCAAACACATTAAGCACCTACAATTTTCAAAAATCGACGACAATTTCAGCAACCCTAGATACCGCCATACTCCGTGCATGATGTGCATTTGCATATGATTGCGCTTGCAAGTGTTTCACCGGTACATCCCGGTTGTCAAGGACCAGATCCTCAATCAAAATCCGTGGCTCTTTCAATCCGACCGGGACGGCGATACCCAGGACATCAACTACCATGCCATTACCCGGAGGTAAGACAGCTTAACTTCTGAGGGATATCAACAGGTGCGAATCTCCAGCAAGCAAGGGGGTTGAAGTCTTTTCTGTCTACTCTGTTGATGCTCATACTGGGTTAGGCTACATGCTTCATTCAGCAAGATGATCGTAAGAAAGAAATTCCCCAAGTTATCGTCATAATTAAGTGTATTCTAGGTTCGATTGTCGCATCTAGCATGAATTCATAATTTAAAGAAGGCCTGGAACTTTTACAAACGGACTGATTCACACCGTGCCTTCGACATCCAACGTCTTTCTTTCAGCACCGTCTCTCCATACAACGATCACCACAAAACCGACCGAGAAGGTACAGAGAATCGCTAAGATTGTCATCCACCACCCAAATCCAATGTTTGATACCGCAATCGGCGACAGCACGGTACCAATAGCGGCCAGGATATTCCGGACAAAATTCAAATCGGCAACAACCGAGGCACCAGATCCCGGCTTCACATCAACCAGGAAAGGCATGACTGTTGAAGTGACAAGCATGAGCCCTAGTCCAAACAGGAATGCTCCCACGAGAGGAGCAATCCAGAACACTTGTTTCTCAACCAACCAGCCATAGATCAGTAGACCCGCCGGAACAAAGCCAACGCCGTACCATACAGTCTTGATTCTTTCGACCGGGCGTATCTCTCCGCCGTGGGTCAACTGATATTGGCGTAGTTTAGCATCGCTCAACTTTCCACCGACAACGCTTCCAATCGCGTATCCGAGACAATTGCTGATATAGCAGAGACCAATTTCGATGGCAGAGAAGTTATAGGGTGGCGCTGAGTACGCATAAGGAAGCGTAGTGTTGAAGCAGTAGAGACTAGCAAAGCAGATGCTGACGTAGGTAATTGTCAAAGCGATCGAAGGAACGGCCAAGAGTCTCAACTTTGGCAATGGAGCAAAGAGATCTCGCGACATCACTTGGTGCCACTGTACCTTTTCTTTGGTCTCGGTGGGAGGCTTCACCAGTGTCTCTGGAAGACATAGCATCGTAAGCATCGCAGTGCTGCATGTGAAAATCGCCATGAAGTATAGGTTTGCTCGCCAACCAAGCCATACTTGAATGGCACCCCCAATGATCGGGGCCACCATGGGCCCGATTAGGGTTCCGAGGTAAAACCACCCTAAAGCCGAACCACGCTCGATCGGAGTGAAAATGTCGCCGATAACACCTGCTCCAACACTCTGAGCAGATGAACAGCCTATTGCCTCGATGAGGCGAAACACAATAATCAAGGGAAGCGAATTAGACACAGCGCAAACGATCACGGCGATGGTCGATAGTAGGAAGCTGAAAACCAGTACAGGCCGACGACCATACTCTTGGCTTAATGTGCTCCACCACAAAGGCGCAACTGCAAGACCTAAAAGGAACACAGTTGTTGTCAGGGCGACTTTGGTGTCTGTCGTATGGAAGTGGTCCACAAGGGTCGTGAAGGACGGGAAGAGGATGCAGGACGCAAATGGCGCGGTAAAGGCGGATAGAGTGATGATCATAACTATGCATCGCTTTTGCCATGGAGAGTGAGAAGTTGGGTCGCGACATTTCTGAACAAAGCAGACGCGATCAAACCATGTTCGAGTGGTTGATGTGGGCGATGACTCGATGGATTTGGTCTCAGACATGATGATTTGGAATCTCGTTTTTTTCTCCTCAACTGCTTCTAAAATGCCACTTGATTGTTGAATCTGAATGAAAATAAGACATCCCGTCGAGCAAGGCGTATTTAATATAGTAGTTGGATGGCCTTGAAGGTTCGGGACTTCGGGGATTTCGGGAATACGGGGATTGAGAGGAAAAACCCGCGCGGCAGCAAGCTAGCAGTAAGTAACCCTGGAGGCTAGCACGTCTGATTTTACAACTGGCTAGGGCAATTTGATAGGAATTCAAGGTGAGCGCCCTAAAACGCCACAGTCGGGCGCGGGTAAATCGGGTGGAATGGAAAATTTAGATTTCTTCCTGCACCCTCCCACCGCAGATATCCCGAGATCATTATATTCCCGTTCTGTACTAGGCTGATCTGGGACGATGAACAGAAGCTGTGTTGCCTGTTCCGAATCGAAGATTCGATGTGACCTTAACAAAACGGCTCCGCCGTGTACCCGATGCCTGCAAAGGGGGTGGACTTGCGTGAGAGCGGAACGTAAGAAGCGCGCGCGAAGAACCAAGAACAGTAATTTCCTTCCATCACCACAAACCGGAAGTGAAGATGGGCTGTACAAGGTCTCGGAGCTACCAGTGTTCGATGAACAACCCGTCAACTTGTCATTCCTCGATAGTTGCTCGCCGGACGAAGTCGAGTTTCTAGCCCAGTTAGCCGACCTTGAAAATTGCGTCGATCTGAGCTCCTTCACTTGGACACCGCAAGAAAATCCTTTAATGGTTGGTGACCACAGCCTGCCTCGACCTAGCACCGGTGCATCGACAGATGAAATGGGTGCCCCGGAGATCGCCATGAATGTGGGGTATCTATGCCCAGACAATTTTCGACTTCCAGCAGACTATGCCCTGGAACTAGAAGGTCCGGAAACCGTCCCCATAGATCGATTGGAAACATACGCGAGGCACTTTTTTGCCCATTTCCACCCTTTCTTTCCATTGCTGCACATTCCTACCTTCTGCTTAGCCTTGTCCCCCGCGGTGCTTGTCAGAGCAATCTGTTTCACAGGCGCTGGGTTTGAAAACAGCGCAACGTCGAAATCGGATGCGAAGTTTTTACATGGGTCCCTATCAACTCTGTTCGCCAAATGCTGCCTTCGTTGCGATAAAATTTCCCCAAAACTTGAAGAGCTTCAAGCAATAGTGCTCTTTCAGCTAGCGAGTATGGCAAACGGAGAAAGTGCAGCGGAACGGGCAGCGTCGCGGCTCCTGCACCCACTCCTCGTCTCAGTCATACGACAAGCAGGGCTCCTCAAAATCCATGGCGAGTGCTCAAAAGCTACACGGAATGCACATGTATGGCAATCATGGATTGAAAAAGAGTCTAAGAAGAGAGTTCTTTGGGGCGTCTTCACAGTGGATTGCTATCAATCCGTTTTATGTGGTAGTAAGCCACTTCTTCTACCGACAGACACACGCGCCTCTTTTCCTTGTGATGATCCCAGCTGGAACGCCTATTCCGCCTCCTCGTGGGCTGCAATGCCGGCGCAAGATCCATCGAGCTGTTTCCTGTCCTCTGTAAAGGGACTCATGGTCCGACAAGCTCCATCAGAGTCAAATTTAACTAAATTTGGCTTGAATCTGTTGATTTTGTCAATTCATTCACTGCTGCTGGAAGCTCAAACCTCGATACTGCCTGTTGATCTGTCCACCCTAGAGGCAGCATTGAACACATGGCACATGTCGTGGGAGCAATTTCGGAGACGATCCCAGCACCAAAATGAATTGAGGGTGGGCAATCTCCTTATCGCAAATAGTCTTTCGCTGTACTATCTGGCATTCCACTTTTTGAGAAATGGGCGTCCGGTACTAAATGAGAGGGCTTATTTGGAGAAATCCAGGGTCTCGGGTAATCCATTCATAATTAGAGAACAGGTTTATCAGGATGAAATGACGAGGTGCGTTCGAGAAATGCTTCTTGAGTTTCAGGGGGGAGATAACACATTGGCAACGCTTTTATAGCCGATCACACGGTATCGATGAAGGTCACTCTTTGGGCAAAGTACACTTTTGACGTTAACATATACGGTATAAATTCCTTTCTAATCTTACTCTTGAAAATTTTGGAAATACCGGGATGTGCTTCAGTCTGGACCCTCCAGGCGGGAATTACAGAACAGATGGGAGTCCAATGGAGATAAGAACTTAAAGAGGCATTTTTAAGTCAATACATTCATCTCTCTACCATTCGATGCTCCCAGTGCTTCTCAGCTCTGTTGATTTAATTGGGGCAAAACAGCCTCTGCAACGGCTTTTCTCTGCTCAGGGAACAGTGCATGCTACGCATCGGCCATGACTTTCAACGTGGTTCTGTTGGGATATAGATGCATTGTCACGTTCCACTGCGCCTTTGTTTGGAAGGAATCATCCGCAGGAATCAACTCGAGGACCTGGGTTATATCGACACCTCCGTCTCGCCCGTACGAGGAGATGAATCACAACTGTGGGACCTGCGCCTTGGGTGAGGACTTGGATGTTTGCCTCACCACTTTGGACAAATTGAGTATGCCATTTACCGTTCACGAGTGGTTGAGTTAGCACGGGTAGAGCATTCGTGTCCTTGGTAGGGAAAAGGAAGCCTTTTGCGATGCCAATGTCCGGGAAAAGTTTACTGCTGGTTTAGTCTCTTCTTGGATTCCTGTTCTGTAACGTTTAGACCACCGTAACTGCGTTCAACTCTCCGTTTGGCAACTGCCACTAGCTAACGGACATTTCGTATCGGCCTTGGCAGGTGGAGGATGATGCGGCTGCAGATCGATATTGCCGGGAAGCCGATTGCAAGATGGAGAAATTCCCGATGTTGATTAATGCCCTGCATAGATGCAGGTTGTTCTCTTCTCTTGCTACATTTAGGCCATGAAAAGAAAGTCTAGATGGAAATCCTTTCAATAACACTACAATGATTTCTTTGAAGAATCAGCTGCCGATTATGGTAAGTCCGATGGAGAATAATGCTATGATTTGAACACACTAGTGTCTCTTTACGAGTCTAACCTTGATCTTTTCGAAACCCATCCGAAATAAAGGCTACCGCCAAGATGACCGGGATGTCTAATGTTCAGCTACGTAGATGTTCGGGAATATTCGTATGGCGGGTCGGGATTTCGGGGAAAACAAAAACTTGATGAATTTTCTGTCTTTGAAACGGGATGTAGCCGCTGTCTACTTCGATGCATTCAGCGCATCTTGACTGGTGGAAAATTTGTGCTCACACAGGTCTCTAATCATCTCATGCTCAAAATGGAGACTTTTTTGTCTTTCTGGGCTTGCTTTTCGATAAAATCTTGGTGTTTTTCTGCCAAGTTCCTTTCCCTCCAATATGCTTCCTATTCTCAATCTTATACGTGAATTACAGATTCCATAAATGTTGTTTTAGACTTTAAATACCTCTTTCATAGCCCTCGTTTCTTTTTTGTACTTTGCCTGAGCACTAGGAGCGGGTGTAAACGTCAAGAAAAAAAATTGAAACGGCTAAAGTAACTTGTCAAACCTCAAATACGGCCTCCCTAGGCCATGAACAGGAACCTTGGTTTTTGTTATGGTCTAGTGGAAAAGTACGCTGTATTTCGTTCAACATAACTGCTAGAAAGACAGCTACGACTACCAAAAACCAGTCCATCTTATTAATTTTTTTTCTCTAGCCATTACCATTCATTCCTGCTGCTGTCGGTAATGGCCTTCACATTGCCTGAGAATTCTGCTTTTTTTTAAAAAAATTTAAGCTCGCTAACATCAAGAGATTGACTGCTGTCTGCCCTTTTGGTTTTTTTTTCGCCTTAAAGTTGATAGCAATTACCCAAATTCCATGTCCTTCGGCGTTAGCTACCTGGAACTAGCTAACGCCCACGGGCCTTCTCTTTTTTTTCCCTCTGTTGACGTGTGTAAGTTCCATCGGTCGTTTTTGGTTGTGTCATTGCTTTTTTGCGTGTCATTTTTCCGCCTTAAATTTTCTCTATCTCCCCCTCTATATTCTCATCTCTATGTATATTTAAAACTTGCAACGCTTCACAAGACGCAAATCCCGATAGGAAACAGAAACAGGACTTGGGGGTTTTCCTGTTCAGTCCTAGCCTGAATAAGGAGGCCTTGTATATCAGGCAGCCGTGCATGCATCTGCCTGCATGTGCTCACCAAAATCTAAGAGCCCCCACCTTTCAAACACAACTCTGCTTACTCTAGTCACCAAGTCTACCCGAGTGCTTAGAGTCGATCCGCAAGGAGCATGTCCACCCCCAAAGTGTGGACGCAGCCAGTGTGGCAGGAATTTCTATCTGCTCGAAATGCTGGACTGCCACATCTCCCAGCTGTCGCGGAACTCAGCGCAGAAGTGGTGCGAATACTTGGCGGAAATCCTGGTGATATGCAACTGCAAGGAACCAACACATATCTAGTTGGAAGCGGCCAGGAACGGATTTTGATAGATACAGGACAGGTCAGTGGCATTAACTATCCGAGTCTAGGACTTTGAGACTAACGAATCAAGTCTACAGGGATATCCAATTTGGCTCACAACGCTGGTCAATTATCTTGACCAACACCAGTTGAGCATATCTCAGGTACTGCTGACCCACTGGCATATCGATCATACCGGTGGTCTCCCGGCGCTACTGGCTCGGTATCCACATCTATCCACGGCGGTCCACAAGGCCCATCCAGATCATGGCCAGCGTTCGATTCGCGATGGGCAGGCTTTTACTGCCGAAGGAACTACGCTCCGAGCCTTGTTTACGCCTGGACATACTCAAGATCACATGTGCTTTATCCTAGAGGGCAGCGGAGCTATGTTCACGGGTGATAATGTGCTTGGACATGGAGGAAGTGTTGTTGTGGAAGATCTAGGACAGTACATGAAGAGCTTGAAATCTATGACCCAAAAAGTGCGCTATGAAGAGATAAGAGTGGCGTACCCCGGGCATGGTGCTGTGATTGACGACCTGCCAGCCAAACTCATAGTCTGGAGCCGACACTGGGAAATGAGAGAAAAGAAGGTTTTGTCAGCTTTTGCCGGGAGCAACATAAAGAAAAGAGCACCCTTGACGATGCGGGAGATCATCGCATGTCTCTACGGGCTCGAGATGGAGGCGATGGCGGGGCCTTTCATAGCGCAGGTTCTTTCAAAACTAGTTGATGAGGGGAAGGTTGGACTTGCTGGCGCAGGACAAGAGAAGAAGTGGTTTCTGCTATAGAAAACCCGTGTTCAATGCTTTGTTAGAGTAGAATAGACTAGTGCGTATGACTAGAAACCCGAAATGCTCCAGATATTAGTATTAACTTCCGAACTGATTGATCTAAGCCATGCGCAATGGGTTTGCCCCGATCATCTCGATATCCGACGCAAGATTGAAATAAAGTGAGCACCACCGTGCGACAACGGAAGCCTCAACTATGCTACAATTGACACCATTCGTCCAATTTACATGATGAACTACTTTATCTCTCTGTGGCGTCTGGTGATGGACTGTTCCCAGATGCATCGATAGACCTACATCTCGATCTGAAAGTCGATCTTGACCTCGAAAAATGCCTTGATATCTTTGCACCAGCTTATCCTGTGCGTTTTGGTACTGTTCCTAACCTCTGGTCTGTTCGCATTCCTCTGGACTCTGATGAATTTGACAACCAAAATGAGCTGACGCTGGATTGCTCCGTGCTTCCCGATCTCTCCACACCACCACTCACTGTCCAAAAGTCAACCCTTACTCCAATCCAAACACCACCATCCCCAACGACAGCAGTCCCTTGTCTCGTACAAAATGGCATCCCTTGCATAACAACTGCGACACAATCCCTTCGCTCACTCCACATCACCCATGCCAGTCGTATCTCCCGCCGACGCGGCGGCAGCCATGATCACAGTGGACTCGATCCACCACGCATGTCAGGCCTAGTCCTTTAACACAATAAAGTTGCTGGCATGTCAATCTGCCGAATGCTACAGTGCGGCTGTGCCGTCCGTCCACAGAGCGAGCTAATCATCGCAATATTCTGTTCCCGACTAGTTTCTTGGTATCGCGTGATGATCTGCACATGCTTTTTGAACGGGCCCAGCAGGGCAGTGTCCTCGTTGAACAAGGTGGTTCACCAGCCCGTCGCCATGGGAGATCACTCGGTCGATGGTCAGACGTTGGAATTGACCATTCAAGCGCAAGTCACGCTAGGCGAATTATGACATGTACAGCAACTGGTCAAGACTATGCCGGCTCGCATGCGGGAAACCGCCAGCTTTTACCCGCAGGGGATGCAGAGCTTTGTAGCTGAAGTCGGGCTCCCACCAGCCGGGCTCTCGGACAGCACGCACGACTGGCTGGTAGCGCACCTATTGATTGATTTTCACGCCGACAAGGTTGATTTAATGACAGCTTGGGCGCCACCGTGACCTAGAATCTGGCGAAATGATGCAGAAGTACATTGTACTGGAGTCGTATCCGGCGTGAACGATCTGCATCAGTAAGAACTTGCAGAGACAGAAGAAGACTTAGGTCTGAACTCTTGCATGATGATTTTGGTGACACTGTTGGTGTGCCCTGGATAGAAAATTCTATCTAGATACGTTATGTTCCTTCCTCTTCTCCCTGTTTCATCCAATATTTTGGTGCTGTCACGTGTTGACACCATGTGTTGCCGTGGACAACCTATCCACAAGTCAACATGGGTCTCGTAGCAATGGACTGTTCCAGACACGCGATCCTTGATCTGCACTAATTTGACACGTCACTGTACAGTTGCCCGAGCTTGTTGAAAGCATCAAGTCGCACCCCGCGTCTGCCCCGCGTCTGTGTCGACCCCTTGATTGACTTCACCGCTTCTCTCCACAACAATTCCAACACATTCCCTCACTTTCAATCGACCGAACCCTCATCTCAGTATGAAACCTCACTTCTTGTTAGGAAAACTTGACATCACGTCAGATCTTCTCAATGATGGTCGGACTCCCCACTTGTCGAAGCACGAGTATTCAAGACGATGTCACACAATGCAAATTTCGTCTGATGACCCTATCGCTCCCACCGTCTTCATGGGTCTCCACAGTTCAACCAGGCAGCAAACCAAGAACCCCATTCCACATATATCAGGTAAAACCGAGATCGGCAGTTTCAAGTCACACTGTGCTAGACGCCAGCCACAAAAACCGTTGGCAGGGTCTACCCGGAGAGCTCCCCTCCAGGAGAACGTTAAGGTTCTCCAGGCCGGGGCGGCAACAGTTGATGTCCCCGGAACGGGTGGTGGCAAAGAAAACGTACCTCCTGGAATTTCTGTCATCGCCAACAACAATTGCAAATCAGAAAATTATTCATCAGAGTCCAAAATGGCTCGTCTAGGCGGACGAAACGTTACTCTCAGTACACGCATAAAATCCAACCCCAAAGTAACGCGAAGTCCTCCATTGAAGCGAGTGACTTTGGGTGAAACTCGAGGAAATATCGTGACAGTCCCTAAAAAGAAGGAGCATGCGCCACCTGCTGAGAATCCTTCGGTCTCTGCATTGAAGCATGCACATTCGGCCATCGCTATTCAACGGGCATGGCGTTCATTTGTAGAACGACGAAACAAGCACGTGTGTGCTATGGCCATGGTCAGGACGGAGTTCGCATGTGAGGTTATTGCTCGGTGGTGGCGCGGAGTCAAAGCCTGTAAACTGCGAGAGCAGACAGAGCAGGTGAAGGTGTTGGGGAGGACTCAACAAACAAGTCGACGCAAATCTGCTGGTCAGAGATCGTCTGTTCGCCAGACCCAACACAATTCTGGCCGCCGAGGCATTCGGCGCCTCTAATGGGGTTTTTTTACTTTATGTTTTCCGTTTTTTTCTTCCGATTTTTCCTTCCGTTTTTCCTTTTCTGTCTTTCTTTCTTTGTCAAATTTATCAATTTCTTTTCTTACTTCTGAAATGATACCCCTACCGCGTTTGACAGGCAAGGCATTTTGTCCCTGATTTCGTTTTGTCATCGAATTGCTTGTGTCACGTATTTTTTCAGTGCAGCTCGGGTCACCACCACGAACATTACTCATCGTTGACTCAATCACATTAAACGCTCGATCGTGGAAACGGTCCTACGGGCTGCGTTAGTATATGCCCGGGGTATCCTCCCAAAATTGACTATTCCGGAGCAAGAGATTTGAAAGAAGAAGTTCAACGAATCAGCCTGCAACTTCCAGGTCCCGATCATCACATAAGATTCAGGATCTCCCGGTCTGAAACTACACAAGACATGTAACTACGTTATCCTGATTCCGCCTGGAACCAACTGGAGCCAGGAAGCGTAGGCTGTTGGTAGATCCCTTCGGGTAGGTTCCGCGGAAAACATCTTGAAAATGCCTGATACTGACCTCATTCCAAAGATCTCCTATTGTATGTATAAGAATAGCTGGCGACTTATGCGACCTTATGACGCCGTTTCTTTTGGTGGACTTGTGAGAATCAACTTTTAGATTTTTTCCATGTCTACATCCCTCTCTAGCCGCGTGTTGTAATGCAATGGTGCACTAAGCTGTCAAGTTGCTGTCGAAACCAATGGTACATTATATATAGTTGAGAACAGGGTAGAAACCCTAAAAAGCATCCACAGACTGCTACAATAGTACGGCCTATATAAGTTGCACATAATGTTGAGTTAGCTCTGTCTGCATAGATTGGAAAAAGAGCGGACTATGTCACTTTAGTTAGTCAGAGAGTTCAGGGTATTTTTAAGCCCTATCTACTGCTCGTCCTATACATTGTTGAAACCATATTTCTGTCAAATATCACAAACCTCGTCTAAAACGTGCAATATGTTACTGAGAGGCTGTCAGTAGGATGATAGATCTGCGGCACGAAGGAACGAGGAAATCGAATTCAACCTGTCCGTATCCTTCGCCCTTCTTGAAATTTTCTTCTCAGGGTACATCTCGTAGCCACAAATTCTCGCGATGCAAGCCTTAAGAAAAGCCCTGAGGTTTCGATGCCCTCATACCAGCCTGCTGCCCGGCACATCGAAAAGACACCTATCTATTTGGTCTCTAGGTGCCACCTGTTTGCAAGGTTCCCAATCCAAAGCTACCAGCCTCTCTAAATAATTCCTTAGAGGACAATTTGATAACCCTTGTAATGGCAAAGGAAATTATGCCAGCAGTGGCAAACAATTTCACGCTAACTTAGTCCCAGCCTACCTTATGGTACACCGATCTTCATATGGGAAATATCCTTGTCGCTGAAGATAACCCGGCTAAGGTCACTGATTTCATTGACTGGCAACATACTTCTATCAGTCCATTGCTTTTGCAGGTCAGATGGCCTGTCTTTCTAACTCCACCAGAAGACTACCAAGAGGGCTAGGTATTACCTCAGCTCCCACCTGACTATGAAGATATCCAAAGGACTACTAAAAAGACGTGACGATGAACGGCCGATGATTCTTGTGCGCCATCCCGGAATGTCCCCATAAATAAATGTACTTCCTGGGCAGGAGCACGTACACCTGGGCAAAGCCTCGCCACATTTTATTTTGCCCAAGATCCTTACACGTTGCCATAAACTTCCCGGGCCAAAGGGCATTGTAGCCCTCGAGGTAAACAGCCACTGTGCCACCGAGCCACCTAATGATGTCATAGGTACGCCCCGACATAAAGATGCCCTTCTGCCACCTGTCTCTTTCGTTTCAATTTTAACCACAATTTATGATCCTCTAGGTCTCATTCTATTGCGTTCATTTAGAAACTATAAAAACTCATTTCGAATCTTTCAAATCTGCTAAATTCAATCAAATTCATCATGCCGATCGAATCCAATCAAGACAAAGGCGTCACCGGAGCCGCCAAATTTGTCACCTCCACACTTGGAAACACAGTCGGCGGTGTTACCCGCACTGTGGGTGGAGTGGCAGGAACTGCCGGGCGAGGTATCGGCGATACCATCACAAGCGCGACGGGGAGTGCTGGCGAGCCGATTGGGAATGCGCTCGGTAGTGCAAGCTCAGGTATTGAGAACGGGGCGAAACGGGTCGCCCAGGGAACGGAAAATGCTGGGAATTGGAAATGAGATCTGCAGCCTCATCTTCTTTTCTTTAAGTGTCACCTGCGCTCAGACTCTTTCCGAGGTTGAGGGCCCAGCACTATGGCAGGGCTCGAGTCCCTGTAGCTCTTTCTGTACCTTCTGACTAAAATTATCCACGGCTTTTTCTTCGTGCACTCTTCTCTGTTCATTTAAGTACGCAACCGGCGTAGAACCGTTGCTCGCTTGAGTCCGTTCTACATGATTTCTTAACTCTCGGCCTTTTTCAATCATTTGGGGGCGATAGACTTCAACCTGAAGCCTTTGCATAGGTTTGATGATTAGGCTTACCTGAGAATTCACTCAGGCTGAGTGCTTAGGGACTGTCACGTGGTCAAATCCGCGCCGAAAGTGTTTTGATTGTCCTTCAAGCCGTGGCCTCAAAAGTATGCCTGAATTATCGATATGGCGTGGGGAAACACAAGGTGTGAAAGAAGCCATAAGTTGAATTGAGCTAAGGACTGGGGAGAGAGGAAGAAAGATCGATTAGGTGAGGAGTAGAGGTTCTATACGCCCAAGGGAGTAAGGCCGCCTCAATGCTCGAAGTTGGCAAGGCAATCTTAGTTCTGCTTTGGGTCGATGTATCGAATTTGATACCATCATCCACGGTCCAAAAGATCTCATGGCTTTGTGCAGCTTTCATCCCCGCTGCTTGCACTGTGCATTCACTCCTTCATTTGCCATGTACGTATTCAGAGCCGATGCTATTTCAAGAATTACATTAAACCATCACCTTCCAATCCGAGCATTTTTTTGAAAATGCTCTCCCACACTTCCGCGCGCGATGCCAAGCTTTCATGGTCCGTGCCAGACACTACCTTCGAATTAAAGTCAACCACACCCCTCGAGTCCCCATCATCCATCCGATGCCAACAAGTCTCAAAATAAGCTTGACCCTTCCTGCCAATCATCATATCGGACTCAGCAAACCATGCCTGGACTTTCAACGGCGCTTTATCTCCTCCTCTTTCACGCTCTACCAACTCGCGCACAAAGACCTCGTAGTCCTCACATTTCCCCCACGTGTTAGGCTCCTTCCGCAGACACTGAAGCGCCTCGCTATTAAAGCCAACTGTGTTCTCCTTGAAGATAGACTGCATCATTGAAGAGCTTATCTCCTCCTGCTGATCAAGGTCTGGTCCGTATGTCTCTGCGATGTAAAGACGATCATTTGACAGACTCTCACCGCTCTTTGAAACCAAGGAGTTGGCTAGATTCACAATCATCCCTCCACTTGTCGCCACTGCAGACCCAACATTGGAGAGAAAGAGACGTGGGATTTGGTGCCATGTCTTGAAGGCTGGAGTAGGGATGTATTGGGCCATTTTCATGGACATCATGCCTGATTTGGCGGGATCGACCCATGGCGCTATTGTGGGGTTAGATCCCGAGCTTATATGTTGAAAGATACCTTATCCAATGGTGAAATCCCATTTAAAACATGAATAGGGTGGTCTGCAGAAACCGTGACACACCTAGAAGGGTGACGAACGGTTGCTCGGGATCCAGAATATCCCGACAGTAATACAAGGTGTTCAGAAGATAAATAGTGCCAGCACTATGCGACACCAACGAGACATGCTGGATGCCGAGATGGGCCAAAAGTCGTGGGACGATCTCAACCCAGGTGGAAACTCGCTGCGCCAGCGGCACTTCGGTGGAATTTCCCATTCCGAAACTACATGCGAGAGGAGTTTAGTTCATGTTGTGTATTTACACCATAGAAGATTGGGGTACACTACCGATCCACCACCAAAACGCGTACGCCCCATTTTTCGGCAATCTTGTGTGGACAGATCCCGATGTACCGGGATGCAAGCATACCGGGTAGAAACATGAGTGTTGGAGTAGCCCCGTTTTTATCAGGCTCACGGCCGTACTCGCCGTAGGTCACATTGAGTGGGCCATGGGTAGAAGTTGGCTCGATGGTGAAGCAGCGATGGAAGCGGGAGTTGGAGACATAAGAAGCAGCGAACGAGCTGGGGGATCTGGTGTGATCTCCCATTTCATAGACAGTCTAAATGAAAAAAAAGGGCTACCTAAAGATATAAAAGGCGAAGAATTTTCGTCTTGAGTTGGGTAGGCACCTGCCATAAAGCGTGAATGTGGCGGCCGACGGCTATTAATGTCTTTCAGCCGCCATTTCTTAGCTCAGTTTGCCCAGATTACCCGATGAACGTCCATTGGCCCTCTTTATCAGTGTAGGAGGATGTCAGATCAACACGGTGAAAACAATTGACGGAAGATCCAAAGCAGACGGTGGACTCCTGATCGAAGCGGGGAAGGGCTCCCTGTACACGAAGCAATTTAAAAATTCGCTGAGTTCTCCCTGGTCAGTTTCTTCGGAAATCACAAGAGTGACTTACCTAAAGATGTCCTAACATGATCTCTATTTCTTTTGCCGCCTTATACTGGTGATTGAAGGGCGAGGTGTACTGCTGGCGCGTTGACGGCAGACCACGTGGGTTCATTGCTTCTCAAGTAGTTAGGGACCAAATTGCTCCAGCCGTCAATGTATATTCAGCCAGATTTCAGTACTCCCATATAACCCGCTGAGCCACTGTCTATTATTTTTGACGGGATTATTAGGGCGTGTCGGGCTTTAGTTGTGGCTGCGAAGGACCTAGTCAATCTGATTGAGGGACAATATATGAAGACGATGATCAGTATTACCCACAAACAGTGGATTTTCAAGCAAACTAGATGTCTTCGTTGGGTGGATTTTGTGCGTCAGATCGATTACGATCATCCAATTATTGAGAGATTTCGCTAGGAAGTTCGATGGGGGTGGTTTGGATTTTGCTGCAATTGCTCTGACTCAAACTGATATTGAAATCAGCCATTTCCTTGAGGCACTGAATCTAGTTGCCTGAAGGCCGAAAGAGAGAGTCCGGGACTCACGTTATAAAGGACGTGCTAGAGATTTTTTTAAAGGGTGTAGATCCCATGGAAGGGAAATACAAGAACAGGTTCAATCATTCAAACCAGCGCTTATCCGTTATATTTAAACCTTTTCTCTGATTGCCAGTTGAGGAAGTGAGATATCTCATTGTGCTTCCCTACATAAATGAAATTTCGAATCAGAAGAAAGCAGTTGGACTTTCATAATCCGATGTTGATCAAAAACGGCACCATCATTCCCTATGAACCTATCGACGAGATAAGACGAGATATCTCATGTCAAACCTTCTCTCTGCTAGTTCACATATCTCATCATTCAGCTGGGATCCCAACATCATTATCCCACCAGCATCCCCAACAATAAAATGAAACCCCACATGAACATACCAGTGAGCAGTTACAACATTCATCACATGGCCACCTATCAAGACTATGTTGTAGACCAGAAGCCCTGCCTCACTTAGCATAGGGCAAGCACCGACGTAACGTATAGATCGACACCGCGCCCCTAGCGCAGGTCACGACCAAAACACAAGTCACCATAGAAACCAGCCACGCGTTCGATCACGGTGCCATGCCCATCTCCATCCGTGATGTCACCAGTGCGGAGTGTCAAATGAGAATTTGAACGTATTTGGGACTGTTAAAAGTAGGTTCGAGTCCTAAATATCTGAACCCATGGACCGGTGACATGATATCAAATGCATTCTCAGACCGACAGATTCCGCGCTCATGTTGCCACAAGCGCTGGGATTGCCTTCATGAGGCCCCAGCTTAGAACGGGCGCCATCTTGGCCAGGGATTGGCTGGCGATCGAGCGAATGACGGGAGGGTCCATTGTAAGCTTTTACGTTCGAGATAACTCCCGCTGATAGCATCCGTCTCCTCCCTCTTCGGGTGATCAGTGATGGATTTATCCGTGGTTGGCTTTTTGGTGGTTGGCGTTTCTGCGATGGACAAGAAACTTCTGGACCTGGCTTTCTTTTGCCGCTTGTCCATTATCGGTTGTCTACCCTGTGCGGTATGCAGTATATTGGATAACACTGTAGGTTTGGTTCTGGTTCTGAAATCGATGTTGTTGCTTCGCATGGGCGATACCCGAAACATGTTTCAGTCCCGTCATCTCGGTGCCCGATTGAAAAATGAGATCATACCGCCTATATCGTACGGAGAGATGGAAAATTTCGATCATCTTCGCCGAGTCATGCGCGAACTTCAAATTGCGTCATGGTCATTTTGCGCTGTAAATGCGACCGCCATGATACCTGTATTGAAACAGATCCTATCCGATGGTCTTGTGAAGTGGCTAGACAGTCTCCCGAATTATTCCCGGCTCCTTTACACCTAGATGCGACCGTTCCAGCTTCATTCTCTCCTTTCGGCGGTCCGCGGACTCAAGGATTCATTTGTCGGCGACCGATGCCGTGCTCTGAAACGCGCACGAGATTCCCATGTACTCCCTTACTAAAATGGTAATCGGTAGGGCAATTTCGCACCCGATGATCAAAACGTGAGGGCCAACCATGTTCAGTGGCGAGGAGGTCCATGGGTAGGTGGGGTTGATCATCAAGTGTTTTTTAGAAGATTTGCACCTGCCGTTTTGGGTAGTCGCGATACGTTGTACATCGAACTTGAAATATCAGAAATTTCCGAAATTTCAGATTTTCCAGGGATAGGGAATTCCGGTGCCTTGGATTTTGAAGAGTTCAGGCGCATCGTACACGAATTTGCAGGGATGAAGGCTCATAGCGTTGGCCAGAGCCGCTATATTGCGCAACGTAGCGTGCTAAGGTGCATCTCGGTGCTCTATGAGAGGTTGCTATATTTGTTCTCCCGGCTGGATATTTACTGTGTCTCTCTGCACTGGAAGAGATTAAAGGACGCCACCGTGTCGATCGTTATCCCTATTCCTCATGATGCAGTGTGCACATGGTACATCGCACCTGCAACTATCTACAGGTACCACGAACAACGTGCAAGGAACAATATGTGCTTGCATGCTTCGTACTAGACACCTAAGTTCTAAGTAACCAGGTAATAGGCAGTGCATCAACTGGCTTTCAATACCTAGGCTGCTGACCGATCTCAATCGGACCGGACCGAGTTTGAACTGTCGACCGTCGATCCCGAGCCAAAATAGCAGAGCACTGCCACTGCAACCCCCTAACGAATTGTCACTCCGTGTGACAACTTGGCACCAACACTAGCACGTAATTAGTCAAGGCTGGTACCCAGACGGTTTACTTGAAAGCTCATGGTGTTGGGATGATCACCATGATCGCCCTTGGCGAGGTTATTCCCCCATACAATGTCATTCGACAACCGCACTACTGAGACCAGGAGTCAGCGAGTTCCTTTTTTTGAGAATTCGCTCTATGTAACACAGTGCTTGGCATCGAGAGGGAATCCTATCAGAGGGCGGATGACTACAACATACTATCGCAGGGGTTTAGGACCGCGGTCTCTTCAAGAAAGGGGGTGTTTATCGAAATAGAATCAGTGAACCTGAACCCCCTTTGTGGAGAACTCGGCATTTCTTTTCCTTCCCCTTGCTCTTTCTACCCCGTGTTGTCACCCCCGGAAATCCTCAATGTTCTTCATACTGGTTCCATACCACACACCTCTAGTCGTACCGGGCGCATTCTCAAGATCAAATGCCTAGATCTTGGCAAGTTTGCTTCACCACGCGCTATCGCCAAGAATTCCTCCGGTGTGGCCTAGAGCAACTGGGCTCTCTCCTTGCACTACGCACTACCGGGTAGGTCATTTATCTGCTTGTTCTATCTATCTTGACGAGTAGAATTTTGTGAGCCCCCCCCCCCGCGGTTTGTCTTGGCGGGGAGGTCATGAGGTTGAAGTTTAGGATGTGACGTTCCCTCTGGGGAAATCTGCTCAATGGAACGGTCTTCTCAGTTTTGAGGCACGGAGCTGACTTGGCATTGTCTATCGTCCGACTCCACCGTCAATTCTTTGATCTCGTGAAGATTTGGCGTACAACATAGGGGGTAGGTATCGGAACCCGGGATGGTCCATCCTCGCGATATCCTGCACAGACCAGCAACTGGTAAGAGCGATTAGTCCCAGTGTATTGTCTTTGCGTGCAACATGTAGGGGAATCTCTTAATCCTCGGAGGAACTGTCCTGTCACGACCTGCCAAGATCACCGTCACATTCCGGTATTGATAGGGACAAAGAGAGAATAGCGTCGTTCCCAATTGAGATGGAGATTGGAGTCAATCAAAGTCAACTGAATTGTGAGTCAAGGACATATACAACATAGACTAAGTTGGATATTAATTGAGACCAGAAGATCCAAAGTCAATTCATCCCGCCAAATAAGAAATAGTCAACGCCAACACCGCTTTAGTACATCATACGTAGCTGCATCTGGCACAGTGCAGTAGCCCCAAATTGAAAATGCCTCATACATAGGTATCCCGTCACTCTATTATTTTCAAATTAACCCGTGTCGCTTATCGCGCATGCATTGTAACTTGTATCTGACAAATCACTTTGCTTCTTAAAACTCCACTTCCCCCGGTTGTGTGCCCGGTCAACGGTTCGGGCATTATTTTTATACACTTACGCTTCAATTTGGGGTAGTTCTCACAGAAGGAGACGCTCCCAGAGTAAACTAAACATCCCGCTCGTGCCATCCCCTGGCTGGAGTTCGTATCCCCACCTGCACAGTTCACACCTTATCACACTGGACAGATGTATGTTGTACGGAGGACTCCTCTATGCCTTCAGTTACTTACATTTGGAGCTTTGGAACTTGGAGGACTTGGGGTAAGTGCGAGAGAGCGGGTCTTGCCAATCGTCGATTGAGTGACTGCCACGATGGTTGAGCGGAGAAATCCTCTTCCTCATTTCCTATCGCGCCACGAGCACAGCGCTACTACTGATCCCTTCACATCAAACCATATTCATGTCGTATAGAACCTCCCATCGCACCAATTTCTTATGTTGTACTTCTTCCTACTCCACTTGGGAGAACTTCTCCGAGGGATCGGGAAGAGGGGATCCTCTTGGCCCATTCCACAATATCCCAACCAGATCGTGAGCATTGCCGCTCAGGAGTGGATCGGATCAACCTTTTTCTTTTCCTTTCATCCCGGGAGAGGGAGCCCAATTTCAATTCAAGTCCGAGGAGTGAGGAGTGGCCACAGAAACAAGCCATTTCTATTACCATCTGCGGTGCTGCTGTCAGTGGGAGAACTGTTGCCCTGCATGTACCTATAGGAGGACTTTGGAGCGACTTTTGTATCTGTTCGTGTCCTTGTACCTTTCTGGATATCGCTGTATATTTCCACAACACTGTTTTGCGCCCCGGCTGCCTTCTCCATATCGGGAAACTGAAGGAGTAAAAAAAATTTAAATTTCGTTACAACACACAGCGACTCGCTTTATATGCAAGACTGCCGCGCATCCGTAGACAACTGTCGTTGTTCCATGTACTCTGTACTCCGTAGGTACTCCGGAAAAAAAATAAACCAACTGACAAAGCAACGGAGAGAAAAGAATCAAAAGAATAGAAGAAAAAAAATTTTTTTTTTCAGAGCCCCACCGAGGGAGAATTGCAGCAAGATGAACTCAATGGCTTCGATCCAGGGTAATCCCCACCGCAAGGCCGTTGCGTTGCTAACAAGCTTCTTCCAAAATTTGATTTTGAAACTCAACTCGTTTCCCACGGTCACCCGGCTCGAGGGCATGCAATCTAGTGAGCTTCGATTACGTTTACAGGGGTTATGCCTGTTCAAACCAATAGACTACGGGGTGATCCCTTTGGTGTCGAGAAGCTTGTTGCGATCTAAAATGGGGGAGGTCCATGACCCTATCGTGTCCAGGTGTGATGAGGGGGGCGGTGGCTGCAGTCTGCACATCTCCGGGAACCAGTGATGTAGGTCAGCCTCGATGATCTTTTTTGGTTGGTGGGGTGGAGTTTTCAAGTTTTTCTTTTCTTTTCGGGGGTTTTTTAATTGTCCGAGGTATACTCCGTGATATATGAGTGTAGTTTGGCGCAGGGAAGATCTTGCCCGGTCAGCCAATTCAGGGCTGATCGTGATCGCGGCTGACCGCTGTTCTTTGTCAACGTAGGAAACTTGGTAAGCTTAATGTATGTTACTCGTGCTTGTCTGTCGGGCATGGAGAAGGATTTTCCTGTTTGATTTCGGTGATTGCTAATGTGGAGCTGGGGGAGAAACCAGGCTGCCTGCTGAAACCACTCATCGTACTCCGTACTCCGCGAACTATTGGAGATCGATTGTATGCCCAACTTGATGATCATGATCACCTCGCCTTTGAATGACGAAACAGGTGATGTCTATATTTGGAGGGTCAAAGGAGTGCCGCGCTAAGGGGTTGAGCTGAACGTCCCTAGAAAATATTATCCGATTGCCTGTGGACTTGGCACTGCACTAAGAGCTTATGGCGATCATCGATTCTATTTACTCAAGTACCAATTCCTGGAAGCACAGCCTGTCCTCCAGATGTGCTACGCTTATATATACCGGGAGGGAGCAGAGCCAAGAGTCTGGTTTAAAGTGTAGTTCGGATGCCAGGGGATGCTACTTCGTACTTCTGTACACAACCTGGCGCATAGTATATTGTGCAATATGCAATATGCAACATGCAATATACCCAAGACTCTACCCGAGAAGCTCCGACAGCCTTGAGTCGGTGGGGGGGGGGGGGGGGGTTATTTGGACATTGGGTGAGGCTATGGGATGTTGAGTAAATGACTGATACTCTCCATGTCACTCTACGTCAGATGAGAAAAGTCTTCCCGCATTTGGAGCAAGGGTAAAGAAACCAATACCAAGCATTCAGGTATGACTCGAGAGCTCGGCGAAACCCGCCAAGAGCCTATTGTAAACCATCCATGTAGAAACCGTGAAGCGCGTACAGCATGGTCATAGTTTCAGCTATCAATTACGAGTTTCGGTCGAGTAAGAGAATTCACGTCTGTTCACCCTGTTAGCTCTAGGGCAAGTTTGGCCAAGGCGGCTCGGCAGCGTTCAGGCACAATCGGCAAGTGGTGTTTCGTTAGTCATACCGAAATGCACTACGGGAATGGTCTCTGTATGGTGGGAGATGACCATACCCATACGTCTCCCAACCGAAAACTTACAACCAGTGATCTACGATTGTACTGCAGATGTAGAGCTTGAAATATACCAACCCATTCAAGCGGAGTTTTCTTCAGTACGGAGTACGGAGTACAACAGACGGAGTAACCAGAATTTCAGAATTTCATTGTTGGCAAGTGGATTCGCTCAATCACGGCAAGATTTAAGAGAGGTCAGCTTCAACGGGCAGTTTTCAACACCGGAAAAAGTACCCTGAAACGGGTTTAGTCTCAGCACAAAATCCCTCATAGCCAGCCCGCGACCTACTCGACAATGGTCATCAATGGTCCACAGGAATAATCAAGACTCGAACCTCAAAAAAAAAAGGAAACCCTTTTCTGCGACTCACAGTGAGTGTCTTTGGGAAACAAAGAATCGAATTTCGATCTCATGAACATAGAACAGTATATGGTGACACTAAAATCAAGGCACGGGTGTGTCGATAGAACTGTATGCGAAATACGGAATAACTATGTCCAGTGGATTAAGTGGCAAGACATTTTCTTGGTCAGGGATGTTACGGTCTCCAGGGCTGTACGACATAGCCTGAGAGATCAAAGTAATCAAAGTACATCGGAAAGGCAATTTTAAATATCAAACAAACAAAAAAAAAACCCCCCCAAAAAAACAAACAGAAATGGGGGTCAACTGGGGGCTCATTAGGGGGGTTTAAGGTGAAAAAAGGAAGGGGGAATCAAAAGTAACCCCAAAAAGGTTGGGGAAATTAGTCAAAATTACCAAAAGAACGGAAATTGAAAATTCCAAAAAACGTGGGAAAAGAAAATTTGAAAAAACCCCAAACTAGTCCCAAAACAACTGTGCCGGGCTGCCGTATCGTCACTCCCACACTCTTCCCCCCTCCAAGACATCGGAGACCCCTGCGCCTTTTCTATGCGCCTTTTCTATGCGCCATCTTCCTCTTCTTCTTATTATGGTCAACCTTTCCCCGAATTTTTCCCTTCTTTTCCTCTTTTTAATTTCTCCTAATCTTTCCTCCAGTTCTCATTTGACATTCTCGACATTCCTGACTTTTTCTTTTCTTTCTCTTTGATCGAGATCCCTCCGAAAGCACGGACCTTAAAAGCCTGGAGGTATTCGAGAAACAGATCTAGTCCAACTTCTCAACATTGAGTTGCCATTCTTAGGCGCAATTATCGATCTTGGCGGATACCCTCCTTCGTCTCGATACCCCCTAGTCATGCGGTTTATATCATGACAATAGTCCTCGCTCGGGACATCTTGTTCTGCCCTCAAGGTCGATCGATTTAACATTGATCGATATCAAGGACAGCAGTTGTTGAATGAAACACTTCTTTATACCTTTCAAGCAATCTTCTTACCTCGCCTTCAATCTCGATCCTACGCCACTCGCCTCACCTTCATCCTCCTTTTTAATCACCTTAGAACTATATCACGAACCCTTTTTTGCCCTTTTGAAACATGGCACAGTCTCGGGACGGGGAAAGAACTTTTTCTTTTCATAATCTACTCCGGATGCTCATCTCGCCCAACTCCTCCAGCAAGCCCGCCCACGGCGAGGCCGACTTGCCCGAGGACGTCGACGAACCCCCTGAACATGTCATGGACGCCACCTCGATGAACTCCGATCAGATCGTGCTTGCTCGACCAACGGTGAATTGCAAGGAATCACTGCTCACACGTGCGTTGAAGAGCAGCCCAGAGATGTCCCCAACCGATCCACACGCCTCCCACTACGACTCCTACATGTACCAATACTACCCTCATAGCAACTTCAGTGGCGTCTCAACGGCCGAGTTGACCAGCGACGGTGGTCTCACAAGTCCATCCTTGTCTAATACTCCCAGTCCACCTTTACCGTCTCAAATGATGAAAAATGCGGCATTGGCTGGAAAGAAGAATTTGGCCCTTAAAGTGAAGGTTGTTGACGCTAGTGAAACTTCCGTCGAGGCCAACCTTGGCCGCAAACGATGCATTAGCTTCGCCTGTGGTCGTAAGACTGATGACAACGAGCCGAGATCTCCGGTCTCACTCTCGGCATCACAAGAACTCTCTCCTAAATCCCAAACACCGAAGGAGCTTCCCACGGAGGAAACTTCGATTCAAACCATTAAGCGCAAAACCACACTGACTTTCGCGTGTCCTGGACGGGAGACTGTTTGCCAGAGAGAGCGATCTCCGGCGCGCAAGTCTTCCATCCGGCCGCGATGCCGTGGATCTCCTGCACCTGCTGCCCGCAAAGCCTCTCCCGGCTTGAAGGAAACATCGAAGCAAGTTTCCAAGGATGTTGCCAAGCAGGAATCTGTCTCTATTCCCACAAGCCGCAAGGGTATCCCCACTAGTGGTTTGGGCAAGTTCGAGGAATCCGAAGCTACCCGGTTCCACGAGTTTGCTAGCTCTATGGACGAAGACGATGAATGGGTGAACCGGGAGGCCTGCTATACACAAAAGATTACTTTGAACGACTGCATGAAGAAAGAAATAGCCATCCGACGGCTTGGTGAACAGGCTGAAGAAGAGGCTTTGGAAGAGGAAGATGATTTGGACGACCTTCCGGACGACGACGAGACCGTGCACGACTTCTCTTCGGACGACGGGAACGAGTCAGACAACGAGGCTGGCTTCGCAGAGTCAGACGAGAGCGACGATGATGGCTCCGACGTTGAGTTTTGGGGATCATCACACCGTGTTCCAGAACTCCCCAGTCAATACATCGACGCACGCCCCACGGCCATGGAACGCCGCGCCTCGAATACATCGTTCGACTCCATGACAGACGACCACTCGAATTGGCTTCCTGCCCCCGTGAAAAGGATCGGCAACCGTCGCGCTCCGAAGGCCCGCAAGAGCATCGGGATTCGTCCGAGGACCCCAAACCTCCCTGATAGTACCGACTTTGTGTGTGGAACCCTCGACGAGGATCGTCCTCTCGAACTCGCCTACAAATCTTGCCTTGAACAGCGGCGCCGCTTAAAAGAGGTTGTCATCCCACAAGATATCGACCCCAGCTTCCCCACCAGCGATCCGGAGGACAACGATGACATTGAACCATCAGAGCAAGAGGTTGCCAGCTTGTCCTCTGCCGCAGGGCACCACGATGAAACTGCCCGAGGACGGCCGGAAGGCGAGGCCCGTAAGCATTCACCCCGCCGCTCTCCCAGGCGTTTGATGTCCCCACCACCCCGTCGCGCTGGCCGTACCTCTCCCAAGCGTCTCAAGTCCCCACCCCCACGCATGAGAGCAAAGTCGCCCACCCCAGCCACGTGGGAACTCACCGATGATATGCCCATCGTTGATTCACCCAGAGGTGTCAACATCAGCCATCTGGTTCAGCGCCGACCTCTCGTCCGCACCAAGTCACTTCCTCGTGTCCCCAACCCTTTCTTCGCCGGCCTGGATAAAGGTCACCGTTGGCAAGGTATCATCCCAGCACTCTCGGAGTCACCAGAGCACGAACACTCACGTACCCGTGAACTACACACTCGTGGCCCAATCGACATTGTCGAAGGCCTCGAGAAGAAGCGCCAGAAACGCAAGGAAAAGTTCTGGCGTCAACACTGCCGCAAAGCTGCCAAAGAGCAGATGGGCAAACGGCCTATTCCAGGCCATGGAGCCGAACGGATGAAGGAGCTTGGCCTCGAAGTTGCTGAGAGGTGCAGAGCTTACGGCGTCGGTCAAGATGCCCAGCTCGTCCTATCCGTTTAGGTGTCCCTACATATGGAACTTGCATGAAAAAGTTTCACCCCTCCGTTTTTTTTTTTTTACCTGTATATACCTACTTTCTGTCACATTTTTGCCTTCGGGTTTTTTCCTCACGATGCTCGCTTAGCGTTCCGAGTGCCTTTCGCTTTCTTACACATATTAGCCGACTTTGTGTTGTCCACATGAATGGTTTCTTTACCCTTATCCCTTTTCCCCCTTTTCTTCATTAATCCCCACGCGGAGGTGGTTCTTTCTTTGCATTCCCTGTTGGAAGTATATATATCCACTTTCTATTTCCTCTTCCTATTCTGCGGCCCTATGGGCCTGCTGGAGGTCGCTTCCTTTGTTGTCTTGCATGGCTGCGGTGCATATACCCCCTATCTGGCTTTTCTGCATTGTGAATAAAGAGATCCATCAGTTTGATGGGAATGAACATGAAACAAATTTTTTCAAGAACCTTTTTTTTTCCTATTGTAGAGAATTACGGTAGATTTGATGAGGTTGAGCAATAGTGAGTCACTACCATGAGGAAGATTCGGAGAGAAGTACGCAAATCAAATCAAATCTCGCAACAAAACATAGAAGAATCTACAAGATCATCCCATACATACCCAAATCAGCCCAAACCCCCGAAGTCGTAGCTTATCGCTGCGCGAGGATTCCGTCTTCCTGCCTAAGGCACCCCACCCGATCCCCGAAAACAACATCAAACCTGTCTTCTTTGCTTCTAACTCTTCCACTCCCGTCCATCCACCTCTCCACAATCGGCTTATCACTGATTTTAATCTGTGATTCCTGCTCGTCACCTTCTTCTCCTTTACTTCCTGACTCCGGCTCTTCATAATGTGGATCGTCAACTGGTGTAAGTACCCTCCCGATGCATCACCAGATCACCTGCATTCACCGTCCGGGGCCGATCTCGAACCACGGAGGAAGACAGAACGAGATCTCTTTCTGGACAGTTTAGTTGCATGGGAACTGAATCTGTCTTGATTCTGACTCCGACATCGAGTCATGCGACAGCTGTGCCGCGGCATCGGCTGCTTGTGATCGAGATGTGCGTCTCGAGGTACAAGGTGCAATTTGCTGATTTCATTTCTTTGTCCTATAGTTTACGATATCCTGGCCTCGCTGGGTCTCCTCAATAAGCACGCCAAGCTTCTGTTCCTCGGTCTAGACAATGCCGGCAAGACAACGCTGCTGCACATGTTGAAGGTTAGTGAGCGTTGGTGTTGAGTTTGGGAAGAGAAGACCTAGCTCTTGGGGGCTCAATCGTACTGGCTATCACGCCCGAGTCTAGTTGCACTGGGTTGCTGCACAGATTCAGGAGCTTGTTATCTAGCACGGGAAAGATGTGACAACTGAGCGTTGTATGGGGCTTGTTTGCTGACAGGATATTGAACAGAATGATCGTGTCGCCGTGTTGCAACCTACTGCACACCCTACCTCCGAGGAGTTGGCTATCGGCAACAACCGCTTCACGACCTTCGATCTCGGTGGTCACCAGCAGGGTATGTGGGACTCTTATTGGAGAATCGTGATGTTGCGCAAGCATAGTGCCAGCAACATCGAACCCCCCCCCCCCACAATTCTTGAAATTGAAGACAACTAACGAACCTCCCTTCTCCATTCAGCCCGCCGTCTCTGGAAGGACTACTTCCCCGAAGTGAGCGGAATCGTCTTCCTGGTTGACGCCAAGGATTACGAGCGCTTCCCCGAATCCAAGGCCGAGCTCGACGCTCTCCTCGCCATGGAGGAGCTTTCTAAGGTTCCCTTCCTCGTTCTCGGAAACAAGATCGATCACCCCGATGCTGTCAGCGAGGATGACCTGCGCCACCAGCTTGGTCTCTACCAGACTACCGGTAAGGGCAAGGTCCCTCTTGAGGGTATCCGACCTATCGAGGTCTTCATGTGCAGTGTTGTGATGAGACAGGGTGAGTTTTGAAGTTCCAAGGAAATGGGGGCTGAGGGGGCTACGCACACATTGAAACATTGCAACTAACCTTTCTCCTATCTCCCATAGGGTACGGCGAGGGCATCAGATGGTTGTCCCAATACGTTTAAACAGAGATTGTCCCAATACGTTTAAACAGAGATTGTCCCAATACGTTTAAACAGAGAGTCTTTCCTGATTCCCGACATTACCGATCCCTCCCCAACCAGTCAGATCCAGATCCTTATTTGTTCCACTGAATCCAGAGTTCAAGTGAGATGAAAATGGCTTTGGCTATTTCGGGCTTTCTCCGACATTTTCCTCTACATCCGAAACCCCGTTCCCACTCCATATCTAGCTACGCTACATCTCCCTCTCACAAGCCCCGATCCAAATTTTTACCCCCGGACGTGCCTGTACGTTTTGAATGTGTCACTCGACAACGCTGTACCTTGCTAATCTTGCCACGTTTGTTCAATTCTTGTTCCATCTGATCTGCGCTTTTGCTCGGGCTAGTTAGCTGGTTTTTCCTTGTTACTATAGTCTAAAGACTTTGAATTTCTTCTTTCTTGGTATAAAGCATAGGAATGATAGTGTTCAAACATCAACGAACTAAATGAATAGTCTGCGAGTGTCTCCTAACCATCAAACAAGCCCCGTATGCCCCCGCATCTCCTCCGCATCCTCTCTTTTCCCTTCGCTTCATTGTAAATGACGTAGATTCCTTGCCTCCCCCTCCGTAGGGGAGAGCTGAGCAACATCTTCTACCATGTGTGATGCCAATTGATTTTTCTTGCGGATACTAATCTCACACAAACGATTATAGACGAAATGAAGAACAAGGGTGTTGCAATTTTTTACAAACACATCGATCTTCAACTGCTTTCGGGGTTGGACAACAACATCAAACTGCCGAGATAAATTAGGAATGCTCTTCATTTGGTGCATTTAGATGCTTACCGATTGGAATTTGTTCACTTAAAATACGCTATAGCTTGAATGATCTTGCTACTCTCAGATCTTGTTGAATCTCCGCCCGCGTTCTCTCGATATCCTTTACCACCATCTCTAAATACAGCTGTTGAAGGCGTTCTGCGATCAGACCACGCTTTCCACTTCCGCTGTTCCGTCCATCCATTTCTCGTACATGGATCTGCGAGGGGAAGGTCCCAGTACAAAAGGCCTCATCAGCACCACATGCCTCGGTAAGAGTAAAATCAAGCTGACGGACAGGAATTCCATTGGCCCGACAAACATCTCTGGATTTCCGACGGGTGATTCCGTGCATCTGATTGTTGTCGGAGCCCTTACCTGCCCGTCACGAACTACGAAGAAGTTGGTCGAATTGCATGTTTTGACGAATCCATTCAGATCCACATCCAGCATTAGGGATTCATCGGCGCCGGTGACATTACCACTGATACACGCTTGCACGTCCGTTGCTTTGGAGATGTGGTTCCACATCTCGTCTTTGACGTCGGGGGAGTCCTCGACGGATGTGCGATGTAATCAATTTTGGCCCCTGCTTTTTTTTTAACGCCGGGATCTGTGGCTTTGATCTCGGGGATGATATCACGATCAACGACAGACCAACGTTCACTGAAGGGTTCTGATTGGGCGTTGGTTTTAAGCCTCGGCTTGCAACTAGCCGGAGATGAACGTGTGGCTCATCAGACATCTTGTTTACATCGAGAGTTCTATGCAGAAGGTCCAATAGTTGAAGTTTAGAGAGTCCAAGATCCATGAACCTTGTCTTGGCAGATTGGGAAAGACGGTTAATGTGGTCTTTGGCGAGTTGGATTCGTCCATTTCTGGCGCGGACGGCCTGCGATGACTTTGCCAGACTTGCAGTCATTCGCTTCTTGCTGGGCGTTTCCGAAGCTGCTCTACTTCCATGCTTGTTGCTAGTCAACCCAAAGTGGTACGGCCGTAATGAGCTGTCTACACGCACTGCATTTTGGTATAATACATATGCGGGTGTCTTCGGTGGCATCTTGAGCTATGCTATCGGACACTTCAAGGGAGGTTTGCCTACATGGAAGGTCGGCTAGCTCACTTCAACTATAATGCATATTCTAATAAATTTCGTGTAGTACATCTTTACAATCTATGGCGCAGTAACTATTATGGTTGGCATCTTGGGTTATCTTTGCCTTGCCTGCTAATCCTGCAGCCGCCTGGTTTCTATCAACGGAAGAAAAACGAATTGCGCTGTTACGTGTTGCGGAAAACCAGACTGACCGAGGTTCTCACAAATTGTGGAGCATTCTAACGTATTCAAAGGTTGCAGAACTAATTGTATCTATGTCTTGTAGGACATGAAGCTCAGTCAGATCCTGGACGCACTCACAGATCCCAGATACTACATCCTCATGACATTCGCCACAGCCCAGGCAATTACGAATGCTGGGATCACGAATTTCAATCCGCTGATTACATCCGGATATGGGCTTTTCACAAGCCAAGACAACCCTACTCGCCCCTCCACAAGCTGCAGTTGCAGTGGTTACGCAAGCAATTTTTACAACTCTCGCATTCTTCATCCCCAACATCCGGTGCTTTCTTGGGGTTAGATCCTCCCGCACTGCTATGGCAGGAGCTATAGTAGTTCATGTGATGGACCCAACCACGCAGCGTAATGTCTCACTAGCCGGCGTTTACATAATGGGATTCTATAACGTGCCCTTGGTGCTCGCATTGAGTCTGCAAACATCTAACACTCGCGGAACAACGGTGGAGAGCGTCGTTTCGATCTCCGTGGCTATATTATTTGGTAAGGTGCTATGCGGTTTTATTTTGAAATCCTTGCTGGTGTACGATTCCAGCTGTTGGAAACAGAATTGGTCCACAGTTCTTTCGCGAGGACCAAGCACCGCATTATCCACTGGGAATTGGGGCAATGCTCTGCTGCTTTGCGATGATGGATGTCACTGGCATTTTAGATTTCGTGTCGGGTTGAATTGCTAACAAGCACCGTGACCGTGTTCATGGGCAGATCAGCGAAAGGCCAGGTAGGGAGGAGATTGAAGCGAATCGGGATGATTCAACCGACCAAGAGAATAACAGATTCAGGTACGCATGTTAAATCGACCCTACTTAGTCATTTTAGACACCATCGGGATGGACCAAAAAACATTATGCTTGAAATACGTAACATACATACCTACCTACATAGCTCTTGTTACCCAAGTCGCATGCTATCGGTATCTCCAATGTCGTTGAGAATGGACCCATACCCCGCCGTCAGAGTATCGTCGATACCAAACATCTCGTTGTCAAAAATGGTCATTTGGTTCAAATAGCTTTTTGGGCCCTCTGATCCCGCCGGCATCGTGTCAATGTTGGTATTAGGGACATAGTGACGATCTTCCCGTCTTCTGGTCATATTCGATGCACGGGTAGACATAGAAAGTTTGGATACCGGATCATATGGAATGTCATGACTTGCTTCATCAAACTCAGGCGCGGAAGCAGAAATTTTTCTCTTTGAGGGAAGAGAACATCCATCTGAATTTCGAGAGAGAAGGGTCGTGAAGGCTTGATATTCCCTTGCGAAGTAAGTTAAGGCAGATTTCAGCATCTTCAGGTCAACGAGTTGGTCTAGAGGTTGATGCAACCTTTTGAATGTGCCTGGTTGTTTAGCATCTTATTCCAAGATTGAACTCAAGTAGGAAAGCCCCTCTGAGCTTACCAGTCACTGTTTAGACGAATGAGGCCTGCCATGAGAGTGTCATGGAATTGTCGATTCAAATGCATCAACATTATGCAGTGTTCAATTCCCAACAGTCTAGATTCTAGTGATGAGCCAATTCCTGCAGCATCAAGTTGACTTTTCCAGACGTCCAGTTGTCGATATGAATCGTCTAAAATAGAGCAGAGTTCTTGGAAAGTGAGTGATGAATACCGCCCATCCCGATCACGAGCGATATAGATTGACTTCAAAATGCGCCGGGCGATTTTCCGAAGTTCAATCACATGAACAAAAAGCCAAACCGATTTGGCGTGGAAAAGAGTGGCAGTCTTCGCCTCTTGCTCCGTAAGCTGGTCAAGATTATTGAACGAAGGGATTGCGATATCATTTGCCTAGTCACGCACTGATAAGACTCTCCCTGCGTTCAGAGCTATGGATCAGCTGGCCGTATTGGACGCAATTGACCTTCTTTCATCATTCAAGGGCAGTAGTTTGATACGAACCTCTCCAGGCTGTATACAGTACACCATGTACGAGACCTGATTTCAATTTCTTCGGGACCAAAGCGCCACGATGGATTATGTCAATCAAGACCCAGCTCGAGTGCAATGGACATGACATATCGTGTGAGATGCCAAATGTCATTGTTATGGTTGCAAGAGGGCGATTTCAGCATCCAAATGGTCATCAGTAAGACAGCTTGAAGTCCTGAGAGGTCGCGAGGATGCTCCCGAAATCGGTTGAAGAAATTAAGTGCAGTTTGGAAATAATCCCTCGGAGAATTGCAATCCAGCATTGACGTATAAGCATCGTTAACACGAGCGTCGTCCAAGGCCAGTGCGAGGACTATAAAGAAACTCAGCCTCTCGTAATCTGTGCATGCTCGCGGTTCTTGATAGATCCTTCGAAACCAAGATCGAATCCGCCGTAGATCCAAGAAAGGCCACCATAGATGAACCAGTGCAAGGTAAGCGGAAAGTCAACACCCAGAAATCCATTTTGGTGGAATTAAAGCAGTACATGCCAGGCGTTCACTTGTCTCTGGATCGTCTTGGTTTGTGCCCGACGTATTGGTCATACCAACTTGTTTAGAAACTATTCGAGCAAAGGTTGAACCGGCAGCCGCTCCCACTGGGAATCCCAATTAGCTGACAGATCAACGTGTACCTGAGAGAAACTGAGCATCTGACCAACCGTATTGGGAGTGAGAATACTGATCAGCAAATCCAATCGCCAGAACGCCTACTTCCTCGGCTTCTTCGCTCACGTCTGCTGGTTAAACCGATTCTCCTGCAATCTGCCGATTGGAGTACAGTCCATGTGTTGGGCCACTAACGCATGGTTCATGAGTAGAGCCATTTGTACAGGCTGCCAGTTTTTCCTCGAGCTCTTTTACTTTTAAATGGAGACTCTCCACAAGTGCATATGGATAGGCAACGCATTCGGTGATATTGCAACCCTCCCTCTGTCTTTCACATGCCGAACATTTAGACAGGCTAATATCACACTATTGACTATAATTTTCAGCACGGTGAAAATGAATCGAAGTTGAGTGAACTTACCGTCACTTTTCTAGAACGGCATCTGCTACATGACTTGACCACTGATGGCGGATATTGGTCCATTGCCCCTAATTGAAGTCATTGTTGATTAATGGGAGTGCGTGCACTATGCCCTAGGGAGTCTTCAGTTACCTGATGTTTCAGTATGTGCGTATTTGTAAACGCCGAGAGTGGCTCAAGAGCCAACAGGACGAAGCGGACTTTACAATCCGAAGAAGGGCCGGTTGATGCCTGAGGCTACAAGAATCGTCTATGTTGGAAATTTTAACATCGACGTCTGTACTCTGTCTAATTGAAGTAAGAAGTTTTGCATATTTGAGAGCTTCACACAGTTCCTCTCTCTTCTATAAACACCCCCGAGCTTACACGTCAATAGATTTCTGTCAACACAAATGACATTCGCCCCCCGGTGACACATTGCATCCAAGACGTTGGAAGCACAGATATGCATATTGCTGCCAGATGCAACCTTGGGGTGCTCTTATCTTAAGAGAGACATGTGTGGTTCATGTGTATAGAATTGTATGACCGCACTGCTTAAAATCTGGTCAAATCTCACAACCTCATTCTTAGGCGCCGAAAAGAGCCAAGCAGTGAAATTGATACAGGTTGTGGAATATACTTCAACCAAATTGTACAAGGAATGGGGTTTTCTTTTCTGTCATCTACTCGATGGTCATTCGCATGTCGTTTCGCTCAAAGCAAAGTCTTTCGAATTGATAACCTAAGAATGCCCCGACTTATGGATGGCGAACCAAATCCTGCAACAACCCCTCCGAACCCACCATCGCAATCCGCGGAGGCATCACTGACCTTTCAGCATCAGGTAGACCTTGGGACAATAGGCGTTGGAGCAGCAGATCAGGTCCACACCGGTTCGAAAGCGTGCAAAATTTATGAGCCTCCTTCCTACAACAGCTGCCCCAAGAGCATTGTGGGAGTACGCCTCGGAAACAATGTTCCAGTTTGGCCTTCTGCAAGACCAAAGAACCGGTTTACACCTCCTTGCCGAACATCCCCAACCAAACACGATCGAAGTTATCGATGTGGACCAGCCAGAGAGTAGTTATCTTCGCAAAAACCAACCACTTTCCCGATCTCATCCCAGCATCTCAATCAAATCAAGCATACTTTGGTATCAGACTGTCATGCGAGTTCATCCTGCATCTCCACACGTTTGAAATCACCCTCAGCTATATGGAAAGATATTGTACTATCACTATTTGGCTACGAAGGCCATGAATTGCGTGGTTATTTCAGCGCCAGTTGGCCATCTGGATATACTACTTTCTCTCTGCCTCTTCTTTCCAACAGGCTCTCGGCAACTACAACCGATACAAGTGATCGCTTTGTAATTGTTTCATTGATCGATGAGCTGGAAACTGGAGTTCAGGTAGAAAAATCTGTTGGAAGTGGTAACGGCCTTGCCTTGCCTCCTCCTGTTCAAACGGGAAACAGCTATATGAACTCCCTGATCAAGGGCGCCTGACCAGGACGCTTTGAAACCGATGCTGATATGACGAATCAAGTTGGGAGTGTTCTATTATGGTCAGGATGGTCGGAAATGGACCTTGTATTCTGTATTGAAAGCGGCGTTGTGTAAACAAGCCTCGGAATGGCGAAAGAATCTAGTTGAATGATGTGGTAAACTTGTCCCCTTATGTGACCTAGATGTGACCTAGATGTGACCTAGCCCGAGGAACTTGGCAAAGTGTCTTGTTAGGACTTATCCTCTTGTTTGCCAACAGAGCATCAAATACAAAAACTAGCGGAGCTGTATGGCGGGCGGCCCAATGACAAGATGCGTTTTGTTACACCCGAATCGGGTTGTGTGTCGTTGATACCAACTAGGATTTACCAATTCCTCAATTCGAGTATACCTAGATCTATCAGTTCGACTGTCAATGGCAGACTATTTCAACTCTCCAAACGGAAATATGACCTTGGTCTACATAAACACAAATTCAAATGTGATTCTCGCAGCCCATCGAACAAACAATCTAGACCTCCGAAAACAAACCAATTCCAAAGCCGAGCTAAAGTCACAGAACACCACTTGTAACAGAGCCTCCCATTTCCAATCCGGTTCGCGATGCATCAGCAGAGGGACTACTACCGCCTCGTACGTGTCGGACTAGAAAATTCGAAAGACGAATATGATTCGATATGGGAACAACAACACATGCGGTCAAGGAACAGGACAATAAAGAGTAAGAAAGAAAAGAGAAAAGAGAAAAGTTAACCAGTTTCCCTTCCCCGTTCCCAGGATGCCGAAAGGAAAAACACATTCCAGTCCAGATGGTTAGAAACAGAGACAGAGAAATCGAGAAACAAAGAAAGAAGCATTTGAACTCCGCCCCGGAAGTACAGAGGGTCGCACGGGCCAGGAAATAATGTGACTGTTGTTTTTTGATCGCAGGTCGCACTAGGAGAGAGAGCCCGGGGGTCTGGAGAAGTTGAGAGTGTGATTGTGATATTATCGGTGGAGTTGAAGAGGAATATCGGGCTGCCCGGGTGCGGATGAGGGGTTCCTCGGTCGTTCATCGTTTTCGTGGATCCGGGGGGGGGGGACTCGCGGGGGGTTTAGGGAGGATGTCATGAGGGCGCTGTTAAAGAGATTTGTGAAAGGCTTATCTCCGCCCGAACCTGCTGCACATGGGGAAGCTCGTATTGATTCTTTTATTTCTTTTTTTGCTTTCGCGGAGTGACGGGACCGCCGGCGCTCATGCCACCGTAAACGTACTTTTGCTTTTTCTCGGCTGGTTTCAGGATCTATCGGATGAAAGAAAAAAGGAGGTTAGGAACTGGGAAAAACAAAGATCTCCAAGGAGTAAGAATTCCGTCACTCACCTGGAAGGAGCAGAGCAGACTCTCGTCCACGCTCATCATTGCGCCGGCATTATCGAATTCACCACAATAGTTGGGCGCACTGAATAGCGTGACCAACTGGCGCTTGGAGAAGAATTCGTATCCATCCTCAACAACTTGGTGTGCACGGCAGATCAGATCCATATCGTGTTTTTGAAGGAAGCGCGAGACCACATCTGGGCCGAATGTGAATGAAACACCTCGGTCGTTTTCACTCCAGCCGGTGATATCCTTATCGGGGTCGGACCACAGGAGATCGCACAGGAGACCGCAGTCGGGAATCTATGTCAGTTAGCGATGTTGGCCTTTAGCCGAGCGAACCCAGCGCCACATTGCCACTTTTATTTTCGCCAGTAGAACCACACCCACTAGAGGAGAGGGGTGAAACCGGAGAAGGGGAGAAACTTACATCCGTGGGACGCATGACACGGCGGATTTGCTCCATCGAGTTGAGATCGGGACTCAGACCACCGTGCATGGTGAAGATCTTCTCATCAATGATAGCGGCAATGGGAAGGCAGTTGAAGCAGTCGGTGAAAGTCTTCCAGAGCTTGATGTTGTATCGGCGCTTGCACTCATCGTAGAAACCGTAGATACGGTTGATCGAAGCACACTCGTGGTTTCCACGCAGAATGAAGAAGTTCTCGGGGTACTTGATCTTGTACGCAAGGAGGAGGCAGATGGTCTCGAGCGACTGCTTGCCACGATCGACGTAGTCACCGAGGAAGAGGTAGTTAGCCTCCGGAGGAAAACCGCCGTATTCAAAGAGACGCAGGAGGTCATAGTATTGGCCGTGGATATCGCCGCAAATCTAGCAAGACGTACAGGTTAGACGGAGGCCTATTCCGGCTTGACGAACCGTTCGAGCAAATTAAAACCTTACCTTAATGGGTGCTTCCAGTTCAAGAAGAATGGGCTGAGAGATGAAGATCTCACGAGCCTTGGTGCAGAGGAAACGGATCTCTGACTCGAGCAGCTGAACCTGCTTTCCAGGGCGGCTACCCCTCACCTCCAAAAGCCGGTCGATGATCGAATCCAGATCCACTTCCTGATCGGCCATGGCGAATAAATGTCTAACGAAAACACGAAAGAAAGAAAAAAATGGGTGGAAGGAAAAGAAAAGCGAAAGGTGGAAGAGAGACTTCCGGAGCGATCGGGTGAGAATAACAGAGATTTGATGACGCGGCGGCTATGTCCTATTACTGTCGGAAAAACAAGTTAATGAAGCGTCCCAAATTAAAACAAAGTCCAGTCTGCATTGCAAGTCTTAAAGCGAAGCGAAAATTACGAACGCGCTCGAAATTTTTCGTTGATTTTTCTCCCCCTTTGGGCGGTCGGGGTCGTTAGGTGCAGCAGAAGCGGAGGAAAAAAAGACCAAATGCCTACCAAACAGAAGATTAAAGATCAAACAGATCTAGAGAAGGGCCCCAACGGCCAAGGGAAAGAAAGACAAAGACAATTCTGGCAGAGATGCCAGACGGGTGTAGACGGTGGTGCCTATCCGAGTTGTTGTGTGCGCGCAAGGTGGGAAGAGGAGAGAATGGGCTCCTAGACGCCTCACAGGATAAACGAGGCTGAGCGAAAGAGCACTGGACTCTTAGCGACTTGGGTTGATGAAGAAAGCTGGAGGGGTGGATGGGTCGAGATGAATCGAGATATCTTTCGAGGAAAGAGAATTTTCAATCAAGGGAGAAATTTTTCTCAGGGTGTATGATAGTAAGACCAGTTTGAATCTCAAATCATCAACTTGAACGTAAACGTGAACGTGAGTGTGGAGATGGGGTTGGAGGTTGAAGAGAAGAGAATCTTTTATGAAGAAGAAAGCGGGAAGTTCCTATTTTGTGTTTGCGCGTGTTTGATCTTCCCCAAGGAGAGGAGGGGGTGATATGTTATATATAGAGCGCTTATAAAGTGACTTTCCCCCCCTTCTCTTTGCATTCAACAATTCCATTATTCCATTTATTCTACTCTATCTCTTCTGTGTTACAAGCGCATTGATGCAAAAAAATCTGCATAGAAGGGGGGGGGGTATTCTAGGTCGAGACTGCCAACGCCCTCGACGCCAAACGGGGTCCAAGCACCAGAGAAGAGGCTGATCTACTAAAATAGTGCATATGGTGCATTGAGATTATCCATCTAGACTGAGACCATACCATTCTATGATATATTCGGGTCATCTCGACTATCAAGCCCATGCTCTTGGATCTTTTAGAGACTCGAATGGATATCTAGATGCCTAGTAGAAAAGTAGAAAATTGGATATAGAGGAAACTCTCCAAAAAAATTGGCATTCTTCACGTATGAGCTTCTAGTCTCAATCAATACTGAGTATCCAGAATTCATGCAGCATGACGGCAGAAGGGAATTGAAAACAAGCAGAACCAAGAAGCAACAAGAGGGGAATTAAACAAGCAAAGATCCTTCCAACGCCAACATGCCCGAAATTCAGAATCATACATTACAACGCTGGAACCGAAAACAAAAGGCCTTTCACTGTGCCTTCCGTGGATCAAGCTGACCCTCAAAAACAAGGGTCACCGCAGGATGCGTTTTGGAAAACAGGGAATGGGGACTTGGAACACTGAAAAGAAAAAGCAAAAACGGTCGTAAATAGTTCATACATCCAACCCACCATATCTCATAAGTCATCCAACGCCGAAAAAAATGCACAGAATGATCAGCTGCTGGTGCTGGGGATATGTTCTTCAAATTGGTCTCGGGGGACCGCACGAGGGAAGTTGTGTCCTCGTAAATAGGGAAAAGAGATAAAGATCCTGCCGAAGCAGGTATACGTCACATTTGCGACGCAGAGACTCTGAAATTCACGAGACGGAAACAAGAGAGGCGAATGGAGTTCTAGCAGGAGATGTCATGGGCCGAAAACTGTGATTAACAAAAGGGTATTTTATCCGCTGAGCGCATGTCCAGTCAGGATCGCTTGGGTGTTCGAGTGGGTTATTGGGGGTGTGGAGAGATGAGGGGAATGGTCCAACCCCACCCCAGAGCAGTGGGCGAAGTCTTTGTGAGAGTTATTCCAGTCATTTTCGCCAAGAACAGTCAGCCAGTCATGGCCCACGCCCTGACGAAGAACTTCCAGCTGTTGGCGGCAAAACTCTTCATCCATCGTTCGGTCCTTACCCTGCAAGGCCTGTACAAGAGGAGGACTCGAATGCACGGGCTTTTCGTGGCTTTGGGTGATTGATGATCCGGGGTGCGCGGCGCTGTCTAGCCTCCACGCCTGATCAACAGGGGCAACAATCTGATGGTCAACTGGCGGTTGAATTTGCTGAACGGGAAGAACGGGGAGGACCGTGCTTGCTGCATTGCCCAAACCGTCTGTGGTAAACGGGTTATCCACCGAGATGTCGACTATCCTGCGCCGTTGGAGCTTTTTGCGACGGTTCGTTCCCCCGTCACATTCCTTCAGTTGTGTGCCATCAGGGTGCAAATCTTTTTGTTCTTCTAACGGCTTTAAAGTTGCAAGATCGTGGGGGACTTTAGAGATGGTAGACTTTTGCACAATAGTTGAGCCATCTGCCGGGCTGGAGCGTACAATCGGTGCAGCTTGAGGCTCTGCAACTCGCTCGACAAGCTGCTTCCTCTCGGTGTATCCCGGACCTCTCCCATCAATTATGATGTCCTCGGAATAACCAGGCGTCCGGCGGAAGAGGTTCATTATCACAACTCGATAACCAGAGTGAGTCTTGACGAACGGGTTGCCAGATACCCAGATCTCCCGTATTTCAGGGAGACTGGTCAGCCGTGCAATCTCCGTCGGGTCCGTGAGGTTGTTGTCGCGAAGATCCAATCTTTCCAGAGAGAGCAACCGCTCAATTCCTGCAAGCGAGCGAAGGCGATTTCCGCGGAGGGTGAGAACGGTGATGGCGGGAAGGGGGTTCCGGGTGAGCGAGTGAAGAGATTCGATCATGCAATGAGACAAATTGAGGGCTTTCAATGCCACCAGTGACGCCACACCGTCAGGAATCTCTGTCAAGAGGTTGGAGGACAGATCAAGCGAGTTGAGACAGTTGGCTACAGGGGCGAGACTAGCAGCAGAGACGGATGTTAAGGAATTTTCGGGAAGGCCCAAGTGTCGCAGGAATCGCCATTTTGAAGGCGAGAGGACGTCTGTGAGAAGGTTTGTAGAGCTTCCATTTCGATGGCTGCTAGAGGCCTCGCTTGATTCAGAGCTTGCGGAGCCTGTGCGGCAAATTTGCCGGGATTGGCCTCGACGGTGACCATGCTTAGTGCTCGGTCGAGTCGGAGAGACACTCCCAGCCCTGGCGCGAAGTCTGACGCCTTCGGAGCCGGTTCGGAACATCGGGGCAGATCTGGGACTAGTGCTGGTTCCGAATGCTGTGTCCACGATAGGAGATCCAGGGGCTGAAAGCGAGTTGGCCTGGTCGGGAGTGTGAACCGGTTGACTGCTGGAACTGGTCCATCCCAGTGAAGGTGACTGTTGAGACTTGGCAGACCGGCGGCGGCGTTTGTCAATGTCATCCAACACAATTCGCGTTAAAAGATCAGCCGGATCGTCCAGGTGAGCTCTCTTGATGGTCAAGGTGCGTAGTTGCTCGGACAATCTGTCCCAGCCATAGAAAGAACGGTAGTCTAGATCAATAATCTCCAAAGCGCTCAGATTCTTAAAAGAGTGCAGCGGCACAGCCGTATCAAAAGGAAATTCTTCATATCCAGAGATCAGAGGAGCACGGTGGTCCGGTGCAAGACGAAGACACGGGATCTTGGTAAAGGCAGAGTACAAGTACTTCAGGTCTGCTTCCAAGGCGGCCTTGGCCCGCTCCGACTTTGTTGGGGTATCCTTAGATCCGATGCGGAAAGATGACCAAAGATCTGTCATACCGGACATCACACTGCGAACACTGGACACCGAATGAATGGAGGCCCGATCGCCCCGGGACTGTTGGGGCTTGTTCAAGAATGAAACATAAGATTGCGATACCTCAGTTTGAATATTCTCCAACCTGATGTTCATGGGGCCCACGGCAATGGTCAGTTCTTCAAAGCGGGAAAGAAGGTAGAAAAGGTGGTGGGGAGTCAATGTAAGTTTAGCGGTTTTGGCGTTCTGCGACATGAATTTCAATGCTGCGGATGAGAAGGCCGCGGCCAGGGTTGAAGAGGTCGAGGTGAAAGAGCTTCCAGGTGTCAAAGGAACACTGGGCGATTGTGGAATGGCATTTTTGTTGGGTTGACGACGAAGCTGTAGTGCATTGGCGAGGGCCTTTTCGTGGGTGCGAACGTAGCTAGCGACATTCTATGACAACCGCGCGCGTTAGCTGTCTATAGAACCATTTACTCAGGCGATCCAAATCATCTCTATGATTAGGCATCTGCTGCATAGAATCACAAACCTTAATGAAAAGTTGTCCATCCCCGGTGTTGATTTTCTCCATGGCGTCAACGGGAGGGGGTATGGTGATGGACCGGGAGAACTCTGAAGATAGAAAGCTCAACAAATGTTACCAGATGTAGTCGACATCTTGCTTGTGCGACCCGAATGAACCCGAAAGAAAAAAAACGAGCAATCGAGGCTCTAAAATGCGATGGTTAGCAACGGTGTACTGAAATTGACCAGTCTCATTAAGGAATTTCGGTGATGAAGCCAGGTGAATGAGGAATGATACCTGTAGAATGAAAACTGGAGATTCAAATAACAATTCGATCTCCTCTCTGAGACCTCGCAAAGTGAGATGGAGATTGGAGAGGAATGGCAAAAGGTGAAGAGGGAAAAGGTGGCACGGGGTAACCAATTATTTAGGGTAAATAATACGGCTTATCCTGATAACACAATACACAGCCCACATACGCCGTAATACATGTTTACAACATTAATTTCGATTTTCTTTTATCAGCTGAGAGATTTCAAAATGATTATCGTCCGATATACTTCTGATTGGATTGGAGTTCTCCTTCTCATCTTACACTCCTCTTATACTCCTCTTATACCCCTCTTATACTTTACCTCTCAATGAATCCCACTGTCCGATAATTATGGTTTCCCTACATGTCCGCCGTCCTCTTCCCAAGATTTGATCTATCCAA